CCCCCTTGGCTAGCTCTAGTGCTGGTGTCTAGGGCAAAGTCCCACACCGCCTCCTTGCCCTTATGTACTAAAATGCTCACGGTTGAGGAAAACCCTGTACTCTGTGTGATAGGAATTTCCACACAGTGCTCGCCAGTCGGGCTAATTTGATTTGATCAAAACTGCATGATGAAAATGAGATGACACACTGTTGACGTTACTCACCATCTGACGATTTTCACAGCGCTGTCTTAGTTAATATCCGTTGAAGAGGCTACTTACAGCTGTCAGGCATCTTTCATTTAATTTCAGAATCCTTTAAACCTGTTTCCCTGGAAACAAATTTGTACCAAATTTGTTAATAGTAAGAAGTCTTATGTTATAAATTACTAGCTGTAACCCGCGGGCTTTGCCCCGTTTAACTTCTTAATTTTCAAGATTATCTCGTTCGCATGGCTCAACCACGTCCTGGTTGAAGTTTGTTCGCTACGCTCACTCACCTTTAGGTTGGAGCTCGTTCGCTGCGCTCACTTGCCTACGGGTTAGCTCGTTTACTACGCTAACTCGCCTCCAGGTTGAAGTTCGTTCGCTACGCTCACTCACCTTTTGGTTGCAAATTAGCTGTTGTCATAAATGTAAAAGAAATAATAGTGCTGCACCCTGTTGGTAATCCTTGTAACTTTAATGCTATTGAACATCATAGAACAGAACCAACTTGTTTAATTGAAACAGCTGTTAAGATTCAATAATTCCATTTCTCATAAGGTTAACATGGGAAACTCCAGAGCCACTGGGGCGGAGCCAGAAAGGATTTTTGAAATAAGAATATGCCTATATGTTAATCGGGAATGTGAGCTATCATCATGCCAAATTTCAGCCCAATCCGACCAGTATTTTTCGCGTTCACTTGTCACAAACATACATCCAAACTTTCTCATTTATAATATTAGTAGGATTTCTATCTCATTAGCTTTTGCAGGCGATACAAATCACAAACACTATACATAAATACATAAATTGCGTTTTGGCTTTATTGAGACAGAATTTTCAACAATTATCATATAATCTGTTATTTTTTACCTGTTTTTTCCCCTGCGTAAAAACGTAAACCTAGCATTCAGAGTAACACGGTTGATATTGTAGCGAGGCTCTCCACAGAGAAGTAAGAAACAGACGATACACTTCATGATACACTTAGGTGGTGGCTAGCTCTAGAGCTGGTGTCTAGAGCAATGTCCCGACTGCCTCGATTGCCCTCATTTACTGCAATGCTTACGGTGGAGGAAGACCCTATGCCCTGTGGGATTGGAATTTTCACACAGTGCTTGCCGTTTGGGCTCTTCCTTGCTTGTCACAAGTATATTTCCGCCCCAACATACCAGAGCCCAAAGTGCACAGTTGTCCCATAAGCATGTTTCCTCTGTACCTTACTTCTCTGTGGGCTCTCCGTCTAGCCTCACATTCCTGACATTACGATCTTTGACACCCTTTCTATCCACTTCCATACACAAATATTTGTGGAACGGATGTAACTTGTAACATACACTTATTCAAAATAGCCGGGGAGCGAGCTGATCTAGAGCGTGGGACTTTAGCCCGTCCCGGGTTCAAATCCCACCAAATCAATGGATTTTATCTAAGAGACAAACCAACCACTAGGTAACGTTAACGTTAGGTAACGTAAAACCAACCACCTGAAGTAACGTTAAAAATAACTTCGGGGTCATGCCTAGCATCCTAGAACAAACAAAAATTTCCAGAGTTTCATGACCATAGGTACAGGTATGAAAACGGTTTCTTTATAAGTTGTAAGTATACCTTATTATATATGATCTCACAGTGCTATTAATGAGGTTTAAACATTTAACTAAATGTTACCTGGTCTGCTGAAACTCATGAAGAGATACCTGTCAGTGGTAAAGCTCGGAAGAAGATGGTCGTCCAGTCGTCTACTCGGACTTTTACGGGATCAGTCGATTCTTAGTGATTTGCAACGCAGATCAGTTTTTCCACTAATTGTTCCTCATCCTTTTTAATGTGCTAACCGTACTGTATTTCTATTGATATTAATTTTTACTTTTGGTTACATGAAATGAAAACGTTATTAAGATTCCGTCCAGACCGCAATTTTTTCAGGTTTTAAAATCATTGAAATGAAAACCATGGCAACTTATTTAAACCAAAATACTAAGGGATTTGCTTTAGCAATTTCCAAAATGAAAGAATTTGTTTAATGTGTTTTATACCAGCATTTTGCATAATCATTCTTCAGGCTCAGCGCCTAGATTATCAATCTCTAATGATAATTTGCACCTTAAGCATAATCTGATCCAACAGGATGCTGGAAGGGACAAGCTAGAAGAAACAATGAAGCTAAATCAATTTTGATTTAGTTTCAGGAAAAACCACGCTTAGTTATTCAATCATTAATTGAATTAGGAATTCCCTAAATGTAAACCCTTTTTATCTTCATAATTCATAACAAACCGTTAATGTCAACGCAATTTTTTATGGATCTAAAATAATAAAAAAGGAAGATAAAATCGCATATACCTGAAAAGGATCGGCCGATTGCAAACTTTAGTTGTCAATTTCTTGACTTCATTCAATAAGCAAAGCAATATCCAATACCTTAACAAAAGTTATTGAGCTATTCACTTATAGTTAATTTTGAACAAGCTAAAGTGTTATATTTCTTGCCACCATAACTTGAGGCAGCCCAAACTGACCTGCAGGGCCATTACCAGCTGGACCCGCACGACCCTTTTACAATCCTATTAGCGACGCCTTCGTGAACGCCCTAGTTCAATATTAACTTTAAAATTATAATCTGATATATTCTCTATTTGCTAAAGCTTTGATTTCCTAGGTGCGGAAAGCGGACTCCTCTTGTCTTAGGTAATTTAATGTTACTGCTTTCCCAGAAGCAGAGTGGAACACCATGTTAATTGCTTTTCCGCTCTCCGCGCTCCTCTTCTGCGTCTTGGAAAATCCGGCTTAAAGGCAGTTTTCAAATATAGGAATCATCATGAAAATATCCCTATATCACAACTTTTATTAGTTACCTACTTTTTACTATTTTAAGTTAGGAATATTGATTCTCGTATACCTAATATTCAGTTTGGTAAAAAAAATACCTAACTCCGCAAGAGTATTACCTTTACAGTAAATCTTAACAGTTTACAAATATCGAAGGGTTTACAAAAATTATTTACCATTTACCAAATGAGTTACATTTAAGACTTTGGGAAAAATAGCAAGTTCAAGAGTACTTACGGTCTGACGACTTCCTGGACATAGTGTTGTCTTAGTTTATGGCTCAGGGAAGGCTGCTTATGCCTTTACAAATATTTTTCTTAAATTTCAGTTCCTTTGTTTTCTTGGAAACAAATAAGTTGAAAGATAGTAAATGTGTAAAGGCCTACACAGTTTTCTCAGACCTCTCTTGTGGATTTTGATATTTGTACCTACACATATTAAAATTAAGAAGGGGTTTAAATACTTGCAAACATGTAAACCTACGTTTATACAAACAAGTTCGTGGAGTGTTTTATGTGGTAAAAATTTATTTTCCCCATTTTTGACCCTAAAAAAAACAAAATTTCATAATTCCTCTCCAAACCATTTTGTAGAGCTTAAAAAAAGAAATAATTTTGTATATTAAAGCGTTGTTGTATGCCCAATGGTTACGGATATAATTACGAAAATTGTAAATTTAAAATCCCCATGTTATTCTTAAGGAGAATAAATAAACTGTTGTAGTTTGCTTGTTATTTTTATTGATATTTTAACCAAATTTGGAAATTCGGTTTATTTCATACTAAGCTATCGACATTGCAATAAAACAAACACACCTCAATATCTTCCCTGTAGCAGCAAACCTAAATACTAACTAAATTAATGGGTTTTTTAATAGGAAATAAATCTGACAATTTCTAGGGAATATTTTAGTAGAAATCCAGCCAGGTAAATGGAAATTCGCTTAGTCTGCAGGTTTGCTGCGGCGGGGGTATTTATATATTAGAATCGCTTAACATCATTTTGGAATGTCCAGAGAAGGGATGGCATAAATGGGAGCTTAAGCCGAATCCTAGAATTTTTGTAACCTCAGATAACAATATTAGATTTAAAATTACATAGGGGGTCTTGCTACCCTTCCCTTCACACATTCTTGGATAAACCTCTGGATGATGATAACCATTAAATAAACTATCTAGTAATTCATAATCATAATTCTAAGCCGAATTTTGTGTGTTCCAAACTAACTACAGGTGCTTTTTTGTATAGCATGCGTCGTTTAGGAGTTGTAAGCCGAAAACTGGTCAAATAATCAACCTTTTGGCCATGTTGATGAAAATATCCCAACTTTGAAAAGGTAGAGCGGCTAAACGGCTCGGCCGATTTTAACGTGTTTAACACCAATCGACCAAAATTAAATGCACTAAAAGACACCTTTGAACAACATTTTCCTTAGGTTTCGTTATTTAGGAGTTAGACGCAAAAAACTGAAAAAAGTGCAAAATTTTTATAGTTTTTCGACTCCCAAAACTTAAGCAGACGTCAGAATCCGTCGCAAACTCACAGGAGTCTTATTTGGGACCCCCAAAAGGTATTAAAACACTTTCCAGCTTTAGACGATTTTTTGGGGAGCATATATGTAATTTGCCTGGGCTAGGCTCAGTTTAAGTAGTTTTAGTTCACTTTTCTGCTACAGTGTTGTAAAGTTTGCACGTGAATTAGTGCTAATACTTCTAAGCTACTTTTTGCTCTCCTTTGGTGTAGGCTAAAGCACACTTGTAGCAAAGTTTTAAAACACAATCTACCTTATAAATGGGCTAAGTTTAAATGTCAAGCAACCAATAAAAATGATGGACATACTATATTCCTCCACCCACAGGCTGATTTTAATCCCCATCCCACCCAGATATTACTAAACTAAATTTATAAATTAGATTCAGTCGTAAGAAGGGATCTAACATCATTTAGACATCAAGGTTAAGCTACATAAACCTTTTCTTCAGATGGCCGGACTCACTATCCAGAACCAGACGTTTGCTGAGGCAGTAAGTGAGCCGGGTTTGACGTTTGTGGCGGCCAAGTTCGACGGAATCCTTGGACTCGCCTACAACTCCATCTCCGTTGACAACGTAGTTCCTCCTTTCTACAACATGGTTAACCAGAAGCTGGTGAATAACGCTGTCTTCTCATTCTACCTCAACAGGTACAGTACTAGCATTGGTAGAAATCAGCTTGGATGTGATATGTGAGCGTTTGGTTATTAGTTGTTAGAAGCTTGAGGTGTTACATGTTTAAACATAAGCAACAGGGACCAATAAATAATTTACGCCAATTTTTTTTCTTGGAACGTTAAAGTCTGAATTGTCATAATAGGCTATAAATGGTTGATGAACACGGACATAATTAGGATCGAATAGAAAAACCAAAAGCATGATTTGAGGTGCAACTAATAAAATACCCACGCTTCCCAACAACTTCTACTCAGGCATTATTAAAATCAAACTCAATAGTCAATACCTGCCATACCAAATAATATTCTACACGTTAAACTCATGTTGCTCTGAGCTATCAGCCTATTACAGTATAAACCTGCTAATCAGGTGTCCAATGGTCCATCACTTTCAATAATCCGGCATTGAAAGGCCTAAACATTTTTGTTATGCTATTTTAAGCCACATTAGCATGGTTGGCAGAGTCGGGAGGGCGATCTGCAGATATATAAGAGCGATTGGCAGAATCCAGAATCGTAAACAATCATCAAATGTGCAAAATAATAAAATTCAAAGGTGTTTTAATTTTCTATACTTTTTAGCGTTTCATATCACTCACTACTAAAATAAGAGAAAGTATGCCTACTAAAAAGACAAATTAACTAATTTGCTCCCAGCCAACACTATTCTTTTGACAATAACTAGTTTCTTGAAGACGTTCATTAATCTGACATTTTTATTTGTTCGTTACTGACAAACTCCTGAACCTACCGGATTAAGCTAATGACCATAAATGATAGTATCACTTAATTTTGATTGACCATAATTATAAAAAAATATTGGTTTCAGAGACCCTGCGGCTCCAGAAGGCGGTGAAATCATCTTCGGAGGATCAGACCCGGCTAAATACAGCGGAGACTTCACCTACTTATCCGTGGATAAGCAGCAGTACTGGCAGTTTAAGATGGACAAGTAGGTTTTTTTCCAACCTACCGGTATTGAAAAAGTTCCCATATTAAATTTGTTGGGTTCTGGAGCAACATTAAATTGAAATTTTACTTTGCCCCTTGGAAGTTCTGTTAGGAGATCATTAATATAAGTTCTGTGAGAAGCATGTTAGAAAGTTGTTCTACACCTTATCTGTGCCTATTTTCAGTACGTAGAAAGAGTTGAACAAAATGAAATAAGAAACACATTTGCAATGGATAAGTGAGTTAAGTAAACCGTTTAAGGATAGGCATTTTTACGAGCGTATCAAATGGAAAGTAGTTAAGCTCTTAAAAGTGTTTATCACATATTCATGGTTGTCACTTTATTTCTTTGTTTACGACTCTAGGACAACTATGCAATAACAAACCCATTAAAAATTTATCAAGGCAGTAATAGTTGTTTTTTGATGGCTATGGCATTTCTCCTTCTGACTAGTACAGTATTTTTGACTTAAAATTCAATTCCCCCACTGTCAACTGCTTACTGCCTAAAAACTGTTAAAAATGGACTCTAAATTCCGAACTAATCTGCAGTAATTTTTAACTTAAAATATGATTTTATCTTTCAAATTACACAATCACAAGCATTTGTTTGATAATAATTTTTAAATGTGTTTTTTTTTCTTTATCACTCGTCAAATAATCTCGTTGAATTTTTGTACGCGTCTGTTGAAGGTTGTTTAGGTCTAAATATTTAATTTTAATTATTTAGTTTTTACTGTAAAGTTTTTTTTTTTTTTTTTTTTTTGTGAAAGTCAGTTACATCTTTCATTTGCTCCTATTGATTTATCTTTTGTTGCATTTCTGTGAAAATAATTATTATTGTAGACACAATATCAAAGCTAAACTCTGATTTCATCTCCCTTCCCATGAAAGTTTAAGTGCTTTAAAAAAATAATAATCTAACAATAGTTAACTACTCGATACTCAAATATTTGCATCCAATACTCACCTGAAAAAATCCACTAATAACCCACACCTAATGAGTAGTGTTTTGAGGCTGTTAAAAGGTTTGCTGCATGATTTGATCTAACAAATATGTAAGTGTTTTGAAAATTCTATTGTTACTGAGAACCGATAATTTATTGTTGGAACGTTAAAAAAGATTGCTTTTCCTTCTCTTTATTTAACTCTTTTCCAGGCATATTTTAATTAGAGCTGAGTTAGAAAATAAGTTTTTTATGAAAAGAACTTTCTAATATTTTTCTAGAATTTACAATTGAGCAAATTATTTTTATTTTTATTTGATCTTTAATCTTGTTTGCTTTTACAGAATCGTGGTTGGAGGCTCCAAAGAGTTTTGCAAGGACGGATGCGAGGCTATTGCAGACACTGGTACTAGCCTCATCGCAGGACCTGTGGCCGAGTGTACGGCCATCAACCAAGCCATTGGAGCTACTCCGATCATGGGAGGACAGTATGTGGTGAGTAACAGCCGAAATACTACGCACAAAAAAAATGTAATCATTATAGTTAGTATTTTGTAAATTTACTGTACTGTAATATGATTCTGTGATTCAGTTGAAAATGGACCTTTATTATTTCATTTAGTGTGTTAAATTGTGCATTTTACTGTTCCAGGTTAACTGCGATCTCATTGCAAAACTTCCGCAGATCAACTTTGTTTTGGGAGGAAAATCGTTTTCTTTGAATGGAACTGACTATGTTCTGCGTGTAAGTAGAGTAATAACTTTTCTATTTAAGGTAACACGTATTTTTAAAATTTTGTTTTATTCTGTTATCGATACAAAGTTATGGAAAATAACAAATATTGTTATTACAAACATGTTGGAAATCTTCGAGATATTAACGTTTCCTAGTTGTGAAGGCTACTCTTAAGGCTTCATGTCTCTTTTTCATTAAAACCTCACAAATAATAAAATACTAACATCCTTTGAAGCTTGAGATTTTTGTTTACCATGATGTTTAACTATGAGAGTTAAATTTAATATAAATATAACTTAACCAAAAAAGTCTATCTTAACTTAACCTAAATAGTAAGTACAATAAAAATAGAATTTTATTCTACAACTTATCGTAAAATATGTTACTAGGTGAGTCAGTTCGGCAAGTCCATCTGTCTATCAGGCTTCATGGGAATCGAAATCCCGCGCGGACCTCTGTGGATCCTCGGTGACGTGTTTATTGGACGCTACTACACGGAGTTTGACATGGAGAACAACCGCGTAGGGTTCGCTAATGCCAAATAATTGCAACAGTCTGAACTTAGCCAGGAGGTGATGTTTGTGCCTACCATGAAGATATACCACCAACATGTGGTAGCTAGATTTGTAAGAATTTACAGTAAGGCTGTATGTCCAAAGAGATGATTGGGGGATTTTTTATGAGTCAGTAGTATTTGAATTTATATTTAGCATTTATTTGAATGGTGGTTATTTTTGCCATTGAAATGTTTTTAGGTAATAGTGTAAAGATTTGGGTTATGTGGCTACCAGTTGTAGCTGTTTTGCAAGTTTATCAATGTTTTTAGTCCAATTACCTGATCAAAAATTGGCTGTATTTTTTATTCAAATGGTTTAACATATTTTATGTTTTAATATTTTCAATAAATATCCTATGATATGAAGATAAGTTATTTTTCAATCCTTGAATTGGGTGTGATAGGTAATGGTGTTATATTTTATTACTAGTCCCAAAAGTGGTTTGTGGCTTTTGATTTGGCACATTTTCCATTGCACACACACTGTGAGACAAAACCAAACACAGGAACGTCAAATATCACGTGTGAGACGATGCAGTGGTTACACGTATCCACAATAACAGAAAAATTGTGAAAATCATTCAAGGTCGTGGAGTGAACTCATGTCTAAACAATTAATTTTTCCTACAGTCACCCGACAAAGTTGGCTTCCTTGTACTGTTTATAGTACAGAAAGCTGCTAATTGCTGCATATTTATACTTTGCCGTACGGTTTATACTTTGCCGCACATCAGGATTCCAACGAAACAACACAAAACAGTGTTGTTCTATTATGCACTTAATCCGTGTACGCTTTGAAATAGGTTGGCAACACTTAAAGATAATAATACTATGAGCAGCTGATTGACTATTATAACTACGATTTAACCTGTCATTTTGTGTTTATAGTTTCGGTATTTCTGAACTTTCTGGACTTTTCTTTTAAACGTTTTTAAAACATTCCTACGATCTTAATAAACAAGAAAATACCTTTACTGCATTTTTTTAGGCTCGGAAACCACTTCAAATTACAAAAACATACGGAACTATATTCTCAAAACGCGGAGCACATTTCTTGCCGAGGAAAAATAGTGGAGTGATACGGACCGCGGGTACTACTTTCTCTAGGGCACCATTTGTGTTGCCAGCTGAACCTAAAAACGTGTTGTATAATGTTTGAAAGACTAATTATTTATGCTTTACATTGACTGTAGGAAAAATATAATGTGTAACACGAATGAAAAAGGCCTTTGGTGCACTCGAGATCATCTCGTGTGCAGCAAAGTGCCACTTTCACCACTAGTTACACAAATAACTATTTCATTGTGCAATCTTTGCATTGTTGTAGGAAGAATAAAACCCCTGGTCACTTAGTATTCTTTTTCATGCAAATTCACTCAAGGTTAAGCTCGGCTTGGCTGGAAAATTGAGTCACAAGTCATAAAATTAGAATTTTCCTACAGTTACCTGACAAAGTGGGCTTTCTTGTACTGATTATAGCACGCAAAGTAGCCAATTGCTGCATTTACTTACTTTTGCCGCACTCATTTTTTTACTGCTCTCCAGTATTCCAACCAAACAACAAAAACCAGTATGCTTTTATTAGGCACGTAATATGTGTAGGCTTGAAAATAAAAATAAGTTGACAACACTTGATACTACGACTACGATCAGCTGTTGCAGTCTTTCCCATTTCGTTCAACGCTTGGATTGAACCTAACCTAAAACGTGTTGTTTAGGGTTTGGTGGCTCGTTCGTAAACATTTCTCTGGTGTGCAGAAAAGTGTTACTTTGCACACTAGTTACACAAATAACTATTGTAGTGTTTACGCCTTACCAAAAACTAGGGATGGTCAAGTCTCGAAATTTCGGGAAATTTTAAATCTCGTTACACGAGACGAGATTTCTTTTTGGCCGAGATTTTTACCGAGACGGGAAAAAAAAAGAAAAATGCCTGCAGAAAGTCAATGCAATACCCGCAATACAGGAGCGTGTTGTAGTTGCGTTTCCTTTGTGAAGGCGTTCTTATTTAATTAATTCTTTAAATGTAAATATTACTTTAATTATTTTAATAATATTACTTTAATAACATTTGAGAAGTTTTGTAAAGTGTAAGCAGTGTGATAAATGTTTTATTACTATAAAAAGTCAAAACAAGTTGCTTGTTGCTTTTATTTGCTTTTATTTTATGATTTATTTTATTTTAGGATAAGTTGAACTGTATCCTAACTGATATCACTATGTTTCCTAATCGTAGGCATTTTTAATAAGTTAGGCGTGATTAATAAAAAAAATGTTATGCTGATGTTTTTTAATAAAAGATTGTAAATATTCTTGCCTATAATCATTATTTTTGTATTTAAACAGTCATCTAACAATGTTACAAAATCAGGTAAAAATTTTGAACGTGCATTTCCCGTTGTGTATGAGAAGGGAAATCCCGTCTCGATCTCGTCTCGAAATTTTATGAGAAATAAAAAATCTCGTCTCGAACTAAAAATCCAATCTCGTCCATCCCTACCAAAAACCTACAAGTTCTATAACTTAATGTTTTGGCACTCTTGTCCCGCAACTCTATCTGAGGTCGTAAGGGACGCATAGTTTGCTTGTATCTCGCCTGCAAGTCATTTGGCTTTCCCTTAAAATATAACAGGAAATCTAAATTATTCATGATAATGTAAAAAGTCTCAATTTAGTAATGGTAACAACATTTATTAAACATACTATAAAGACAACAAATATAGACTATAGTTACTGTATAACAGGTTTGCTGTACACTAAGGACAAAATAAAAAAGTAGTTAGGTGAAAGTAAAAAGTATACTAGGCTGTATATACAAATTACAAACTAAACAAAATAAAGTATTAGAGTCTAGAGATTTTCAAACCACCAAGATAAATTTGGCAGATTTTACTATCAAGATGAACACTTTTATTGATACAATGTAAAATAAAATACAATACATTCCTTGATCAAATATTTCGGCCAAAATATTTTTTGTGATTTAAATGTAACATTTTAAGTACAGATTTGTTTACAATACAATGTTATTATCAATTTAGCATTACGTTTTTTTTAGTTATTATTTTAAGTTCAAAAACAATAAAGGTATTTAAAATAATTATTGATTTTTTGTTAATTAAAAAATATATTTTAAATCCTGATATCTTTAATGTTTTAAATTTAAAAATATGAAAGAATGTTTCACATACATACCTAAATTGACCTAATCACTGTAAGTACTTAAACTCACCAAAACAAACTTATACTACCTCCCAACTATCTCCTAAATTTTATTTAAGTACATTCCATTCTTGTAAACAACTTTCCTCGCAAATTTCTAATCTCTCAATTTTGTAATATTTTCAACAGTATCTGGTATTCAATTTTAAATAACCCTATAGTGAAGATCCAGAATGAAACGGTAGGACTTTCCTATTCGTTAAAGGATGGTTAAATGCATTGTTGAGTATCGAGTAGCAGTAGGCCAATAGGTTACTCGAATGTGATGGGTATACTGGAGTATGGCAGTATCGGACTGACGGTTTCCACTTGTAATGCGGTAGCCATACAGTCGCTGGCTCGTTGGCAATCACCCAGGGTTTCCAGAACTTTTCCCAAGTTGTACCTGGAATAGAGCAAGAATACATTGTTAACTAGAGAGACTTTAGAGACTGAAATACTCCTCCATATACTTTGGTATTGCAAAAAGTCAGCAACTTTTGGTTTGAAATTAGACCCACCAATCCTTAATGAAAACTTTCATGATTTGACCAAATGTTTTGAAAAACAGAAGTTTCTCAACATTTTGGTTTTGGGGTTTTTAATTTGTTTGAACCCATCCACAGGTGGCTAAGAATGTAGGAAAGTTTAGTTTAGTAGACTAACCAGACGCAGTACAAAAAATAAAAAAACAATTAAAACAATACTAGATTAAAAACTGTTAAAACAGTCAATGAAAAAAGCTAAAGTAAAAAATTGAAAAATCTACTCAGCAGACGATATTTACTGTACAATCTGAGAACACAATAAAGGCGTGTCTTCTTCTGTCTTTGTGTCTTCTGTTCAAATCAGACCAATAAAACAAAAAGAAAAGAAAAACTGAAAAATTAATTTGCAGACATAATAACCGCACAATCCAAGAACATGAACCATAAAGCCATTTTTCTCCCGCCGTTGCCTCGCTCTTGTACTTTTTTATGCAATGTACCTATCCCACCTGAGTGGAAGATAGGTTCAAATTCCAAACCTAAAATTACTAATCAGTGACAAATAGTGTCCTGAACAATTAATGTTGAACTCTTTCTTCTAAGACTACAACACACTAACCATGTCGACGGAGCGTGGGGATCGATCTTGGCGGCGTCTCTGAGAGTTTTCTCTGCCAGACGATGACTGCCCAAGTAGTGATACATTAGACCCTGTAAACAAACCATCATCATACAAACAACGGGTTTTATAACATATTTACAGAAAAATCTCATTAGTTAGACATATGGTAACATTTAGTTTATGTTAAAAATATTTAAAACTAAAAGGAGAATAGGGTTAGAATCAAAAGTTTTATCAATAAATTATGGATCTTTTATAGTTATTATTGTGTAATGAAAGTTGGATAAATTTGCTTTCGGTAGAGATGTGCACCAGTGAATGACCATTAAAGCTTCAGTTTCCACATGTACCCATGGGAAAGTAGGCTATTAAGCTATAGTATATAGAATAGTATAATCATCTCGCCCATATTCTCCTGTACTTCTTAGTGATAAAAATTAATGTAATATGTTCAAACAAAGTGTTTGAAAAAAAAAACAACGAAAAAGTATCACGCCTAAATTATTGCACTAGTATTTTAGATAGTGTTTAAAAATTGGATTATTGTATTAAACCCCTTCCTTCCACCGAATAACCCATTCAAGATTCATTCCTCAGAGCTGGATACCCTGTATATAATTACCGTATGAAATAACTTGCACATATAGTTGTGAGTGGAAATATGGTGTGTTATTTTTGAGTCCAATATATCAGACTTCAAAGCTAAAAAATATACATCCAACCCACCAGGTGCTGAAGACTTTTGATATGGGAAGGATTGATGGCAACGGCGTTCTGAAAGCACTGTTTGGCCTCCATAAACTCTCGTTTATGTTCGTGTACCAGCCCTCGCTGGAAAAATCAACATTTAGATTAGGCTGGGTCATTGATAATATTAAATCTTAGGCCTAAACATTTTATAAACTATTTTTTCGAACAATGTATGAAAACTATTATGTTAACTTGTATGTAGACCAATGTATAAAAAAGTTGAAGCGCAAACATTTTGTAAAATATTTTTGAGACTGAAACTTAGAGAAACAGTTGAACCATAATAATTACTTTCATAACTCAGATCGATGTAACTTGTAACTTATAACAAGAGTTAAAGAAACCAAGTTAATTATTTTAACTGATACAGAGTTAACATTTCAAAATGTAATCCATCATACTCGAGATAAAAGGCTTATCAAAGCAAATCTGTAAAACCATTGACTTTGGATGCTGAAGTAGACATCTAATCTATATATTTTTTAACAGTTGAATGAGTCCACAGAGAGTGCTAGTGTCTAAAATTCTATTTTCTTGACATAAAGCAGCATTTAGCTAAAGCCAGAATGGCAAGGCAAGGTTATTTGCTTCAGGAAACTTGAAATTTATAAGAAACAGTTTGGCCTTGTGTAAACGTGGCTTAAAGAAGAACAAGACCTCCTAAGCTTGATTTGATTAAAAAGTCTGTGTAAAGCTGGGTTTTCCTAGGCCCGGAATCGGCTAGCGGAGAGAGGAACGCGGAGAGCGGACTCCACTTGTCTTAGGCAATTTAATGTTACTGTTTTCCTAGAAGCGGAGCGGAATGCCATGTTAATTTCAATTCCGCTCTCCGCGTTCCTCTCTCCGCTCGCCGAATCCGCGCCTAGGAAAACCCAGCTTAAGCGACATAAATCGGTAATTTACACCATCACAATCTGACTGTAGCTTAATTCAATTATGACCATTTTAATTCAAAACTGGCGACAACTTTAAAATTAGAATGCGATGTCTAGTTTTATCAATAGTCAAAGGTATAACACAATTAGGACAAAATTGTCTTCTTTAAGCTAACAAAAAAACAAAGCACTCACGGTGTACATGATGTGATGTGAGAGAGGGAATATCGAGGTGGCCTCTGCTATACTGGCAGCCGCCGCAGACACCTGGTCCAGCGATAAATAGATCTCTGCTATGAGTAGCCACACCTGTAGCTGTAGCAGCCACGCACGCTGTGGACCAGGCCGTGGAGCCAGCGAGGAGATAGACGAGGCCACCTCAGACAGAGCCTGCTCTACACGCGACGCGGCCAGCGAGTGTGCGTGGAGTGAGGCTGAAACAAATTACATTGAGAGAACAGAATTCTGCGTAACGTGAATAGTGTAGAATGGAGTGAGTGCCTAGTATGGTATGGTACTGTTACTAACCTGTGTGCCGTGCGCGTCACTTTTAAATATATATACTCAGCTTGCAAGCGATATCTTACTGGCCGAAGCATGTCAGCTGTCAACGGCAATAGAACTAAAAACGACGAGCATACGAGAAATTTCTCTCGTTCGTCTTGGCTCTTGGATATTGCCGGAGTCTTTTGCTAACAGCTCCAAATTAAACATAAGTATTTAGTATTTAAGTTCAGTTAGGGGTTGCCGGGGAGAAACTAGGGGGCTTTAGGATGTAGGTTTTCCAATTAAAAATGTCGGTCTTCTCCTTAAGAGAAGCCGACATCAGCTTGTCGAAACAACGTCTAAATTCACATGGTTCTAAATTGTTCATTAATTCTGTGCTGTCAATTCGATTAATTCATTGCCAAATTACCTTACTTCTATCAGGTTCCATTTTACACGATTAGTTCATTAGTTATCTTGTAAATGCAATTCTTACATATTCAGGTAGTGGGTTAGATAAGATTTTCATGTTATAAATTACTAAAATCACAGCTCATCAAAAGCTGGCTTAAGGTGTTAACGGCAATGGGCACGATCAGCCTCAGGGTAAAACATTTCTATTAAAATAGACAGTTAACAGTCCTTGATAATTTCTCAACCTCAAAGTAATTATTAATATATATTTCCATGTCCCAATCCTCACGCATCCATACCACTCTTTCATTAACATATTCCACATACATCCTCAACCAGTGCAATTAGTATCACCCAGTCACACATTGTAGCATCATACGCTACACCTGATTTTGCCAGAACCGTTTTGTTAAAAGTTGGGTCGAGTAAGCCATTGAACCTTCAGGACTCTTACACTTTACAACTTTTAAAAACTATTGTTGAAATGTTGAATCAAAGTGGAATATTGAAACAAATTATGAAACCGAGTTCCAGGAATCTAGAACCAACATGTAGGATGTAAAATCAAAATCCCGTTGAAAGAGGTTAAAACCAAGATCTAAGATGTTGAATTTGAGTTGCAAGATGTATGTAAATAAAGTCATATTGAATTTTAATTGGTCTCCTTTTCTTTTGTAAAATGTGTTGCTTATTTCTATTCATCACAAATTCCTAATTTGTTTATTTATTGACGAACTGAACAGTGATGGATTAAGGTAAATAAAGGTAAATTTATTGTATTCACAAACTAAAAATAGATTTTAAGTAGTTTGAAGTAATTTTTTTTAGTAAAAAGGGAATAATTTTGAAGGAATTTGTAACAAGTTTTAACATGATTAGCTAAATGTAAACCTAATCATACCTGTATCTTTGTCAGACATTTCAGAGGTGTAGAGCTGAAAGTGACTTCTCGTATCAGAGTAGTCGTTCTGAGTTTGCTGAACTTGCTCTTCGTACAAAACCTTCCATAATGTCAGCATCTGTTTGGCTGACACAAGAGCGACCTGTACAGATAAAACACAATTGAATATGGTGTTTTGAAATACCTACTTATTGTCTTTTATGTATACTTGATACAAGTTCCATGGAAATGTAAAAAATTAAGCATGTGCAAACGGGTCCTTGGGCTGCTGAATTGTTGAGCAGAATTGTTTTGTAATATCTTGCACTATTATGTTTGTTGTTTTGAACGTTAACACAACTCAAACAAAGTTTCAAGTACTAAACTAGGACTACAACTCTTTGTCTGAAAAGAATATTGTGAGTTTCTCTTCAACTCTACCTACAGAGAAGTAAGATAAAGAGGAAACATGCTTAAGGAACAATCGTGCGCTTTAAGCTCTGGAATGGTGGGGCAGAAATATACTAGTACCCAGCAAGAAAGAGCCTGAACGGCTATGGTTTACAACAGGTGTTGTAGCGCACAGGCTCTTCCTACTGCGTGAGCGCTGTTGCTGTTGTACATGACGGAGAGGAGAGCGGAAGGAGACGACCAATAGAATTTGAATTAGACACAAGCCACTGGTGCCTGACACGACTTAAGTACACCATTGAATGTTTCCTCTATGTATCTTATTTCTCTGTGCTCTACCCAAGTGGCTGTGTAGACTTTTTCTAATATACCTTCCGCTTAATTGTCCATTACACAACTCAAAGTTTTAACTACTAAACCAAGACCAGAATTTTCATGTAAAAAATGTTGGCGGCAAAGCTGCAACTTTACAATGTAGGTTTAACTTAACTGACCTCAGGCCCGTGCATCTGCAACTGTAGATGTGTCTTGACGTACAGCAGGTTCAAGTTGTCAGGGAAGTCTAACAGTGCGGAGTCCAGCAGAGCGTGGGCCTCAGTCAGCTGTTTCTGAGCCGTCAGCAGCAGCACCATCAGCTGTAGAGAAGGCACATGCTCTGGACATAGCTGTAGTGCTGCCTTGGTGTGTGTCAGGGCCTCTGCCACCTGAGCTTTACTGGCACAGTGTAGACCCAGGTAGTACTCTACTAGGTGATCACCTGGGTCGTTCTGCTGTGACCTGAAACCCAAGTCAAGAGAAGAGGCTCAATTACACATTATAGTAAATGCACACTACTCTAAGTGTATAGTTGCTAAAACTAATACTGCTGTGTAAATTGCAACTAGAGATGTGCGAGTGGCTCGATTTTCAAGATGAGCCGTGCCGAGTCTGGCCTACAAGCTTGAGAGATCGAGCACAAAGTCAGAACATCAAGCTCAGGCTGAGCTTTTATAATCGGGATCGCAAAATTCTCCTGCAAGTTCACACGATAGGAAAATTCAAGCTTTTGCCGCAATCGCGGATGAGGATAATAGAGATTACACGACTACCAACAACGATGATGACCACAAGACCATGTGATATTCAGGATTTTGCCACAATCACGATGACAATTATAACATTCCCGTGACCATGGAAGACGATGATGATGATAACCAGACGACTGTCTTAGACTAATCAACCAAACCAAACTAACATGATCTGTTTGAAAAGAATATCCATTATTTTCTACCTCTAAAAACTCACACTTACTTGAGGAACGAGTCATGCGCGAGAGCATGTAACCGTTGCTTCTCCTGCTTCAAATGGGACAGCACGGCTGCATAGTGAGCTCCGATGCCGATGTAGAGATGACACCGAGACAGCAGGTTCTGGGGATGTGACGTCTGCCGGGCCAATGCCTTCTGGCTCCACTGCATGCCTTCCGACATCTGCGACCAATATCAGAGTTAACAGGTTTAAAGTGTTGTTTCAATTACAGTTTTTACAACGTGATATTGCCACTAAAAAGCTGAATACGTATTTTAGTTTATGGTTAACTTATTCAAATGAATATAAAGAAGGTTCACTAGAGGGACATATCCATTTTGTTTTCTAAATGGATGAACCTACAACCAAAGATGGGTTCTGAACCACCCTGGTATCAGAGCTAGAATCCATCTGTGATTGGTGAGGTTTGATCTCAGGTCTGAAGATACTTGAGTACATCCAGGCTCATATATAAAACACATTGAACGTACACCATAAACGTAATTTATTGTGTTACTGCTTACACCAATGGCACTCTATTTGAAAGTACCAAAGCAAACAATTTAAAAGAAAGGAATCAAAAGCATCACATCGGACATCAAAGTTAGACACTACCACTGCTAACACGCTCAATGTTTTACTTCAAATTTTATCTGGTGAAACAACAACAAAAAATTTAAGAACAAGATAATGACAAAAAAATTAGGAGTTGTAATTGAAACTTCTAACCATACCAAGTTGAGATGCTGATAACAAATTCTCGCTGCGATGAGACAGGGCATAACCTTGGTTGGCATCAGTCGGGCGACCTCCTTCAGAGCAGACAGGGCGTGTACATGGTGACCCATCGACTCTAGACACAACGCCTGCTGTAGCCAGATATGCGCCTCCTCATAAGAGAACTTCATGGCTCTCTCTATACACTGCAACAATCAACAGTTCATTGCTGGTGGGTGAACTAAAGCATTATCTGCGAACCTCTGCCGAACAAAAATCTGGGGTCTTAGGGAAAATCGGGGACTAAACCAAGCGGTCTTTTTGTGGATACCTTTGTCTAGAATTATCAAAAAATTAAAAATTAGGATTGAACCATTGGTCTCAAAAAACATACCTCATAGAGTAAGGAGACCTGGCCCCAGCGCACTAAAGTGATGGTGAGTAGATCGTAGATCACCATGGCGTTGCTCATGGCTCGTATACGCGCCTCCTTGAACTCCGGAGATTGACTGAGGACTGCTTCTCTCACTGCCATCGCCTCGCTGCAACATCAGACACAAGTAGACTGTGTGGTATGTAATGAGATCAGGAAACTTATTAACAAGCAGTGACAAATCTATCAAGTATGCTTTGATCAAAAACAGCCTCCTTTAACACAAGGTTGGTGTGTGGCAACGTCCTAACGTCATGCCTATTGCCGTGGTGATAACGATAACAGAAATGACAAAAGTGTAAAAATTTCTTATGCTGTCTATTATAAATTAGTCCATTATTTTTGTCCATTTTGAAAAATTGTATTTAAAATTAAACTGAAATTATAGAAACTCTCTCCATTAAGAAGATACTAGCAAAATTTGGCGATCGATCACTTTATCTATTAAGCTAGCAGTACTTTGATTTTAAGATGATCACTGAAAGCATCATACTAAACATTTTTTTATTTAAAGGTACTAACTGGGAATATTTTGATGTTTAGGAAATTACTCTAACTAATCCGCTTCCAAGTCAGTTAAAAACTAATAGTAGAAAAGTGCTTACATAGGCTACTTAATTTACAAAGGTTTAAAATCAAAGTAACCTAAATCAGAGTAGAAAATATTTATGAATAGTAGAAACAAAAAGCTAGTGTTGTAACGGTGTACCATACATAAATAGTATTTTTGTTAACCAAAAATATTTAATTTTTAAATCATTCAATTTTCAAACAAACCTGATCAGAAGCAGAAGAATGACCTCTTCATACTCATTGCGTGGGATGAACAGGTTGATGCCAGTGTATAGACGAGGCTTCCAGGCACTAACAGCTGCATTTTTCTTCGTGCCTAGTATGAATAGCCAAAATAAATACCTCAAATAACATTAATCTCTAAACAATTCATTATTTTGCAGCTAATAGACCTATTTTTTTCATTTTTTGTATTATCATTAAGGGGCAAAAGGCTAAAAAACGATAAATGTACGCTCAAATGCAAAATCATACCAAGTAAACAAAAGACGATACATTATTTTATGCAATAGCCTACATTTGGTAAAATTCTAAAACTTTAAATGTTTGCTTTGAGTTTTTCTTAACGTTAAAAATAATATTCATAAACATTACAGTTTTAATCATTTTTAATTATCCTACTTTAAAAATTGTAATTTCCTTTTTTGGTTGATTATGAATTACTGGGTAAGTGAAAACCTTTGAGATATTTTAATAACGTAAACTAATAGTTTATATGTGTGTTTAAGCTGATATTAATGCATAGGCCTATACAAAAATGTATCTTTAGAATATGTAACAAACACATATACTGTACAAGGACTAAACAGAAAGTTATTTTTGGCTGATTGTGTTTATAATGTAAAATTATTATAAAGTTTTAAAACTATTGCTATTTTATTTAAGTTATTTTGACTAGGCACTATTTTTACTACAATACAACTACAAATAGTTGAAGGTATCTAATGTTTAGTTTGATGTTGATTTAATTTATATACAATACAGTGTTTAATATATATACAAAAGGATTTTCCCTTTAAAATTTATTGTTTTAAAAGTTTAATAGTTATTTTATCTTTAATCGTTTATTTTTGAATCCTAACATGCAACTACAGTAGTTCATCCACATCTATTGAATAAACTAATAAACAAAAATTCAAATTATATTTCAAAAGGAACCAAAAGTAAACAACTAATAAAATTAGTAACGTACGGGATCCTGTTTGTTTAAATTAGGTTAAAAAAAAATAATTTGAGCTATTAATTAGTTCAATAGAAACTTAAATTGACTGTTCCTAATTTTACTCACACTATAAACTGCAAACAATTAGTTTACACATCAGGATCTCAAAAGACGAAATTTATTTTTAAATTGATGATCTGAATCCTTAACGATATCATCAAAGATATTTTAAGCAAATTTATTTTTAAACCCTTATAAAGGTAATCAAGCCTCATAATTTAGAATTTTAATTAAAACAACACTAGAAGACTATAAAGTATCCTATTGGAAAACGTTCATCTTGTATTAATTTTGTGTATAAGTATATTTTATTTTTATGTCCTAAGATATAAAATTACAATAATTAGTTTTTAGCATTGTTATCACTGTAAAAATCAAACCCAAAATTTCATTTCAAAATCAATCACACACAGAAAAAAATTTCAAAAATCAACCAAACACATGATTTTATAATTTGATTAAAAATGTGTCTTCAAAGAGAGTTTAAAAGTGTTAAAAAGCGTTAGTCCCCTGATTAGGTCAAAATAGCAAAACATTAAATATACTTAAAAGACGTTTACAAAAGTAGATTATAAAAATTAATCTCGGTGAAAAATTAAAGTGTTTGAAGAAAACGCAAAAAAAGTCAGTAAGGAGAGCAGAACCCGTTACTCGCTAGCCTAATGCTGCGAGTAAAGCAAAGCAGCAATCCACAGCACGACTCTTGACAAACCTATGACATTGAGGGTGTTACATGTCAGTGTAAACAGAGCGGTGGGAAGTTCTACGTCCAGAGTGTGCATGTACAAACCTGCCCAAACATGTACGAACGCTCAGTAACAGGCCTGAACTTGTCGTGAACATCATCAGTACACAACATAAAAACTAATTGGAGCAAAAACTGTGGAAATAATACAAAAACAGATTTATGTGTAACTTTAATGAATGTTGAAATATTTATACAGTAGACTCCCTCTTATCCGGACTCCTCGGGGCCGAGGGATGTCCGGATAACGGATTTTCCGGTTAAACTGACGTCTCCTGTTTACTGTGATATTTAACTTAAATTTAGGAGAGCATTGTATTTAGACATGTGATCACTGGTCTCAAATCTTTCCCACGAGAATAGTCGTTTCAGTACTGCCCACTTCCTGCCAATCTAGTCCGGTTAAACCAATGTGCTGATAAAAAAATTTTCCGGTTAAAGAGATGTCATTTCCACCGAGTGTAGTCCAGTTAAAAGGTGTCCGGATAAGAGGGAGTCTACTGTACTTCTAAAGATATTTTTATTTTTATCAGTGTTCATTTATGAATCATTTTAGCCTCTGAATTGCTTATAGCTAACAATATACGATGTTGAATTACCTAAGGTAAGAACTCATCATATGAATTGTTTATTTATGATTGATACTCATTTGATACTTTGCCTCAAACTAAATTACAATTGCTAAAAATATAACCAGCTTCTAGGTATCAGTTGGATTCCACCAACGATAATCAAAAGGATTTAAATTGAGTTATTTTAAATTAGTTTTAACTTTTACACCTCATCTTTGTCATGTTAAAGCCATTAAAATAATAAAAAAGTAATTATTAAACATATCCCATTTAAAAAATACTGCTTTTTAATGTAAACTAATAGGATATGAGAACATGCTAAACTTTAGAAAACTCCATCCGTGTATCACAATCAGTTTTCATCAAAGTTTTACTTCAAATACGTTCTAAAAAGACAGTTAAAATGCTTCAACCATATTAAGGCTGCAAAAATTATAGCTAACTTTTATATAAATATGTAAATAAATAAAGTGTTTATGTTTGTTTTGTGGTCAGAAAAACAACCATCTTACAAAACTTAGGGGGTGAAAAACTTATTATTCACATGAGAATGTTTTCAGCAACGGTTAGTCTCATGGAATGTATTGTAAAACCGAATGCATTGTAGTCTGGTTTTCACAACCAGGTTAACAAACGTACAGTCCAATTTGAGATATTTAAAATGGATTTCTTGAACAAACATTATAGATTAAAAGGATTAAATTTGAGAGTCCTGAGAATTTTTCATCGTATCAAACGCAACAACTTGTAAATTTCACTTACTGTTACCAGGGGGCGAATAGCGGATGCCAGTATAGCCTCGCAGCAGGACTTCAGCTAGTTGTCGTGTTAACGTTAGCCTCAACCCGTGAGTCCCACTGGATTCAACGGCACACAGCATGTTCCTGGGAAGAAAAAAAGTTGGAGTTAAAAAAAAAATACTTGATTTTTACGATGTTTTTTTGAGGATAGCATTCCCTTAATGGAAACTTGTCCCAAGAAACATACTTTATACACAATGCATAAGAATGCTAAGAAATAAATAAAGAATGCATAAGAATGAATTATACACTGGATTTGTCAGTATTAACTAAGGAAGGTTATAGTTGTAGACAGATTTTTACGCCAAAAGAAATCTATCTTTAACTCGTACTTTTCTTTGCTGAAAATGCTATCAGTGACAGTGAAATATTTTAATGTTTTGGCTATAGTGTAAAGTTTTGTGTTTCCTGTGCCTGCTATCCCAACAGAATCCTAAACACCTCCTGCTCTAAGAGTCAGCTCATCAGGTGCATAGAAGAATCTACTTTAGTCTGATGCAACAGCCTATTTGATTTATTTAATTAAAATCAAAAGAAATGCAGTTTCAATATTTTTAAGTGCAGAGGCAACCACTTCTTTACTTATTTTCTTTACTCTTTACTCTCTACTTTAAAGATTAATTGTATATTACACACATGTACTCCAAAACCTACCTATAACGAGTGACAGCCAATGGTATTTTCCCAGTCTGAATGTACAGCAACGGAGCTCTCTGTATGGCTGTTTCCAAGATGGGGCCCATTGTACGTGTTGAGTCTTGTGGTTGTGGGGAGTGGGAGCCGGCTGGAAAACATTCAGTTTCTTAACTACCAATTCAGAGCTTATATAATGAACTGGCATTTGGCTCGCAGTTAGTCGTCATTTAGAAATTTAGGAAGGGGTGAGAGGCCATCACCAAGAAGCCTCAAGTCCGTAGCACACCTAGAAGTGGTCTAGATAGCACTCTCAGCATTTCTCAAGTCGCTGTCAAATTTGAAGCAATAATGGTGGATTTCTATATATGTGAGGGGGAGTTAACATTTAAGGATAATATTAATTAATATTTAAAGTGAAAATGTAACGATTTTTATTTTCTTTGGCTGTTTGAGACTAAGACAAGCGTCAAGTCTCTTGCTTGTTTTTAAATGGTTCTGATGTCCAATCCAAAGTCAGAAACTTTCAATGTTGTTTCCCATGAAATAAAATAATGGAGGGAGAAATTGTTAAATCGAGGGGGGGGTATTAGTGGAAAATGTAGCTTTTGGCAATGTCCTAGGTCGTTTGGGACCAAGACCAACAATCATACCAAATTTTCTTATCTCCAACTAATCTTAAAGTGGGTAAACGCGATTTAGACCGATGCACCTGTAGGAATAACATTGGGGAAGTCGATATTTCAGGGTGGGGGAGGGGGGTTATAATTGTAATATTTCACTTTTTCAAAATGGACGCAAGACCTATAATCGTGCCAAATTTCAGATAACCTGTAATAACATTTGTGGGGGGGTCGATATTTTTTGGGGGGGGGAGGTTATTATTTGAAAATTATTAACTTTTTGAAAAGGGTGCAAGACCTACAATCGTGCCAAAATTCATATCTCCGGCTAATTTTGAAGTAGGTAATGTTGAAGTAATGTGAACGCGTGATTTGGATGATGCACCTGTGGTGGCTATATGGTAGATATAAGGGGGGAAATCAATTTCGGGGGGGGGGGTTAAGGTCCCTTTTATATTCATACCATTATTAATAGCCCTAATAGGAAAAAACTGTGTATATATTTCATATCCTAGCGCCCATAGAATTAGTAAAGAATCGGTTATAGCCTCATAAAAGTGGAAAAATATATCAAATTCTGACATTACACTTTAATGGTGGTTGTGGGGAGTGGGAGCCGGCTGGAGAACATTCAGTTTCTTAACTACCAATTCAGACAGACCTTATATAATGAATGAGAAGACTTAAACATGGGTAAGAAATTTAATCACTATTGTTTAAATCATGGGGAAGTGATTAAGAGTATTGTACTCTCAGTTTAAGGCTGCGCGCGCAAATGCAAGGGGTTTAGTTCTTACTGTTTGTAGCCCCAATTGTGAACTGATTTAAAAGATCTTGGTGTCATATTTTTTGTTAAATATTATTGTAGTAGTTTTGAAGTTCTTTTAAATTTTGATTCTTCAAAAAATGTTGGGCTCAAAGGTTGGTAAAAATGTTAAAATACATACTTTTATCATCAGTTTTAACGCATAAAAATAATTTTTTAGGAAAAAAACACAAACGGGGAAAGTGCAATAGATTCTTAAAAACAAGAATCTGCAGTTAGCTTATTAAAAACATTAAGTAGGCATAACAATGTTATCACCCAGATTCCAAAAGCTTGGTTCATGGCGCTGTTCAGGGACATCGGCGTTCAGCAACTTCAATTGAGAAGTCCGAGCTGAGGTAGAGCGCACCCTTAAATATATCATAATTCCATTTAGTAGCTTCTGAGTTTAATTCAATTAATCCCAGTAATCTCCACTTTTAGAGCAAATTATACAAAATATGCTAAAAAACATTATGTTGTTGGCTGACCTACCTGTGTTGTTGATAGTCCCCGTAGTAACAAGCTGTTGTTGAACTTTGTCCTGTTCCTGAAGATACAACAAAGTCAAGTCTCCCGCCAGCTCGAAACACCTGGCCATCTGCTCCTCCCACTCCACCTGCTTGTATTTGCTGGTGGATGACGGCGGCACCTTCTCCAAACACAGTCCTGTGAATACGGTTAAGAGCTAAGATAGAGAAAGGGGCAATCCAAAACCACTAAAAATGCAAAAAACGTATGTGTATAAAATGTAATTTGTATATTACTGTTAAAGTTAGATTTTGCAGAGGTAGTCTACAATGGAACAAGAATGTGTGCCATACAGCATTTACACAGAAACAGAACTTACACCAAGCAAACCTCTTCTCTCTTAAAAAAATATATACAAACGAGCATTCAAAATATTTTAAACTGATTATGGTAGATTATGTTCAATAGAAATGTCACTCTACTTCCAATACATAGGACTATTTAAATTTAAATGAAAATTCTACTTTGAATTAAAACAAAAAATGTTGTTTATAGGCGAAAACCCACCTTTGATGGCGTAAGATTCTGCTACAATCCGTAAGCTACGACTAGGTAAAGGTTTCTCCGTAAGTGACTGAAGATCTGCTTCGTTGTAATGATTAAGTGACTCCTCAAAGAATCCCATGGCGTAATGTAGCTTCCCGAGAAGTAAATGTGAGTCTAGGGCTACTCCAGCCTACAAATGGGAACTCACGTTTATCAAATTACTATAATATTAGATCAATGAAAATTGTCTACCATTTAATTTCTAGCTAAACATTGTCTGGTTTTAACCAGCCAAATGATGTCCAGGGAAAATGCTACTAATTCTCAGAGTTCAGAAAAAAAACATTTTTCTTGTGTCTTTAAAAAAACTTGTTATGTAACAATTTCAATTTTCGAGCAAACTTATGGTAAGGAAGAAAAACATGAAAGAGGTAGGTCACAATTAAATTGAAAAAAATATACCCCCAGATCAACTTAATTACTTTTCATGACTTGCAAGAACACAAAACAAACATAATCTGAAACTGTTAGTTTCAAATATGATTGTCCAATATAGGCTAGTGAAATCTAGAAAACTAGTCAAGCCTCACCATGAAAAAATTGCTGTGTAAAAATTACATTTCTAAACTATTTACTAGGTAAAATGAGAATTTAATTTCAAGCTTAGGTTAGGTTAGAGTTCTAGTTATTATACTACAAAGCCATGGTAGTGTTTCTTTAATTTGAGGACGAGAATCCTCGTGATTCCATCATCTTATCCATTAATAGCTTACCTAAATTGCAAGTTAGCGGGGGTTACCCTATAGTTCTTGCTTAAAATGAGAAAGATTTCAGTTTGATCTTGGGAAAATTCATTAGCTTTTTGATGGCTCAAAACTGAACCCAGTTGACCTTAGTCATTGGGTTTTTATAATGATCCTGGTTAAAGAACAGTTTAAATCTTAGCCTACTAAGTAAAAACCTACAAAAATTGTCTTACTCATCCACACAATTATCATTCATTACCAACTTATTCTGGTTAAAATTAAAACTTATTCTGGCCTTAATTTTGCCGTCATGTTAAATAGGTCTAGTATTGATACCTTTTTTCCTTGTTCACTAGCAGCGTTCAGTAAACAACGCTTCGCTTCTCCCAAGCCTGACCGAGCTCTGGAGAAATTGGTTTCGACAGGTGGCCATTCTTCCAAAAACAGCTCCAGCTTTCCTTCCCCAAGAAGAAAGTTGCACAGTGGAGCTGAAATAGAGTTATAGAAAAATTACACACATAGGAAATATATTGTAATATTTCCTTTAAAAGTAGCAAATGAGTAGGTAGACGAATTAATAAGAAAACTGTATGGTTGCAAATAAATGATATTATAATACAACGGGCCTACATTTGCGTAAACTTAGTGGTTTGATTTTGGGAATTTAATGATCAAAGATGAGTAGAGACAATCATGTCTATTGGGATTCAGGGGGGATTCAGTGCAGGAGGCTTGAGGTAGGCAAAGAGATAGCTTGCAAAATATATAAGCGTGACCACAATAAGCTATGAACTGCTGGCAATGTAATGTGATGCCGTGTTTGGATAATGAAAGATAACCAAATTAATTTCCAGTATCAAACCGGCAAGATGACAAGGTCTGGTAATTTGTGACCTCAGCAATCACTTCTCGGACTTTAGGGTCTACTTAAAAGGTAGGAAAGCCTACATGTCAGAGTCTTTCTGGATCATCTAAGCACCTCAGACATGACTGACCAAAGTGATGAATGAATTTAGATTCACTCGATGTGTGTCATTCTGTAGGCTGAGTAAGGACACTGCATCCCGATACTAGCAATGAGACTGTTTAATACTTTGCAATTAATTACCAATAATTTTGCATCTTGATGAATAACTTTATTTGTGACAAACCAAGGTGCTTGTAAAATTTTTCTTAGTGTTTTAGATTGAAACCGTTGAACTATTTCTATGTTCGAGTTTGAAGTGGTTCCCCAGAGTTGGATACCGTAGGTCCCAATAGGTTTCAATATAATTTTGTATAAAAGTACCTAATTTATTTTCAACAGATAATTTTGAATTTCGACCAATAAGCCAATTTAGTTTGTTTGTTTTTAAATTTAAATGGAGTCGTTTGTTCCAAATGTGTGAATGCCATGTAAGCCGTCTGTCGAGATGCATACCAAGGTACTTAACTTCGTTGGATTGTGGAAGCATTACATTATTCAATGTTACTGGGGGGCAAGTTCTTGTAGACATAGTAAATGTAACTTAAACGGATTTTGTTTCATTTACTTTAATTTTCCAATTCTGTAGCCACTGAGACAAATCGTCTAATGCAGCCTGAAGGTTTGATGATGCCAGAATAGGATCCTGATTTGATGATAAAAAAGCAGTGTCGTCTGCAAATGTTGCAACCGTAATACCCTGAGTACTTGGAAAGTCGGTAATTATATCGACCTCCGGACCTCACCCGAAATTAAAATTTTTTTTTTTCAAAATGGTCGAAATTTCACGCTGATTTCAAAAATGATTGTCGTTTTTTTCGGAAACGTCCCGTTTTCCCGGAAAATGGGAAAAACGGGAAAAATATTTTTTTCCTCAAAACCCATGTTGCGGGTACTCAAATTATGCGGAATTTCCTCCTGAACAAGAATATGTAAATTTCATTACGATCGGACCACTATTAAGTAAAATATCACCGAAAAACGGGAAAACGGGGAAATTTCTTTTTTGCTCAAAACCCATGTTGTGGGTACTCAAATTGTGCGGAATTTCATCCTGAACAAGAATATGTAGTTTTTATTACGATTGCTTTTAAGTAAAACATCACCGGACAGGTTAACTAACCTAACATAACCTAACTTAGTTTTAGATAAGTTAGGTTAGGTTAGGTTACGTTAGGTTAGGTTGGTTTAGGTTAGGTTGAGTTTTGTTAGGTTAGGTTAGCTTAAGTTAGGTTAGGTTTAGTTAGGTTAGGTTGAGTTTTGTTAGGTTAGGTTAGGTTAGGCTAGGTTAGGTTAGGTTAGGTTAGGTTAGGTTAGGTTAGATTAGGTTAGTTTACTTACAATACTCATGTTATTAATAAACTAACCCAACCTAACCTAACTTACGAACTTAGGTTAGTTTAGGTTAAGTTAGGTTAGTTTACTTACAATACTAACCTAACCTAACCTAACTTATCCTAACCTAACCTAATCTAAGTTCCTAAGTTAGGTTAGAATAGTTTATCAATAACATGAGTATTGTAAGTAAACTAACCTAACCCAACCAAACTTAACCTAACCTAACCTAACAAAACTCAACCTAACTAGGTTAGGTTAGTATTGTAAGTAAACTAACCTAACTTAACCTAACCTAAGTTCGTAAGTTAGGTTAGGTTGGGTTAGTTTATTAATAACATGAGTATTGTAAGTAAACTAACCTAATCTAACCTAACCTAACATAACATAACCTAACCTAACCAAACTTAACCTAACCAAACTTAACCTAACCAAACTTAACCTAACCTAACCTAAACTAACAAAACTCAACCTAACCTAAACCTAACCTAACCTAACTTAACCTAACCTAACCAAACTTAACCTAACCTAACAAAACTCAACCTAACCTAAACCAACCTAACCTAACCTAACCTAAACTAACCTATCCTAGCCTAACCTAACTTATCTAAACCTATTGTAAGTAGAGTATTGTAAGTAAACTAACCTAACCCAACCAAACTTAACCTAACCTAACCTAACAAAACTCAACCTAACTAGGTTAGGTTAGTATTGTAAGTAAACTAACCTAACTTAACCTAACCTAAGTTCGTAAGTTAGGTTAGGTTGGGTTAGTTTATTAATAACATGAGTATTGTAAGTAAACTAACCTAATCTAACCTAACCTAACCTAACCTAACATAACATAACCTAACCTAACCAAACTTAACCTAACCAAACTTAACCTAACCAAACTTAACCTAACCTAACCTAAACTAACAAAACTCAACCTAACCTAAACCTAACCTAACCTAACTTAACCTAACCTAACCAAACTTAACCTAACCTAACAAAACTCAACCTAACCTAAACCAACCTAACCTAACCTAACCTAAACTAACCTATCCTAACCTAACCTAACTTATCTAAACCTAAGTTAGGTTATGTTAGGTTAGTTAACCTGTCCGGTGATGTTTTACTTAAAAGCAATCGTAATAAAAGCTACATATTCTTGTTCAGGATGAAATTCCGCACAATTTGAGTACCCACAACATGGGTTTTGAGCAAAAAAGAAATTTCCCCGTTTTCCCGTTTTTCGGTGATATTTTACTTAATAGTGGTCCGATCGTAATGAAATTTACATATTCTTGTTCAGGAGGAAATTCCGCATAATTTGAGTACCCACAACATGGGTTTTGAGGAAAAGAATATTTTTCCCGTTTTTCCCATTTTCCGGGAAAACGGGACGTTTCCGAAAAAAAAGACAATCATTTTTGAAATCAGCGTGAAATTTCGACCATTTTGAAAAAAAAAAAATTTAATTTCGGGTGAGGTCCGGAGGTCGATATAATTACCGGAAAGTCATACGTGAACAAAATATACAAAATATCATTAATGGCTTAACAAAAGGGCCTGGCCTAAAATAACGTGTTAAACAGTTCCAGGCTATTGTCGGACACGTTCCCAAGTTTCCTAGAGAAAAAGAAGGTCCAAGAAAAGGCCTAGCCTAGTTTAGTAACAATCTTCGACAAAGAACTTTTATTAGGCCTACCTTGTGCTGCATTCTTGCTCTTCAACTGCTCTGCAAGCTCTATCACTTTCTTCCAGTTTGATTCCTCCCTACTCTTTTCTATTTCAGTCTCAATCCTCACTGAATTTCTACCCTTTCCTGCCATAATAGTTAGCTGTAAAACCTAAAAATTAAACTCAATAGCTTATACATAACCGACTTTTGGGGTGGTGTGAAATATTTTTTCACATAGAATTTTCTGAGGAGTTACTCCATGGCTTAGGATGGACAAAACTAACACTTTTGAATAAACACACAGTAAGTTACCTAGAAACCTTTTATCTTGATGTAATTTTAATATTATTCGACAAACACCTAGCACAAACAGCACAACAGTACAGTAGTGACAGTTAAATTTTGACAGATAAACTACAGAATACAGAACATGATCTGCAGATGTCTGCTGATCTATTCTAAACTGAGGAAAACAGCTGATAATTATAGAACTACAGAATACTAAAAAACACTACCAGTGTCATATTGCATGAGGCTTGATAAAAGTTTAATCTTAACGTTTCCGCTCCCAAAGTTAATACAATACCGAGATATCAAATTTCTATAATAATTTGACTTATAATACTGCGAGCAGATTCTCTTTTTTTTGCAAAAAATGAACATTGTTTTGGTGTGAATTTCACGTCTGAAAACTAACTGTGCTCTAATGTTGAAGTCGAATAAATAGTTTTTTCTTAATTAATTACCAGCGGCTACTGGCTAGGAACGCTCCTTCAAAACTGAAAGAGACCGTGACGGAGCTGGGGACCATCTTGGAGCATGAGACATGAGACAATGGGAATGGGAATGGACTTTACAAGCTCGTCTCCGCCTCCTCCCCCCTCCACACCCCCGGCAATGGTACCGTACATAAGTTACCGTGCATTTACAGTGTGTGCGCTTTTATACTTGTTTTTATTTCTATATGCATACCGTACTATATTTATTAATTTCAATGGCAACCCCCATTTTACAAAAAAATAATAATGCAATGACATACGGTACATGCAACAAGATGCAGAGTAAAATATATAATGGATGCGTAAGAAGCTGACATGATGAGATTACAATGATAGAGAGATTTGCATATATTTATAGATTTATATGATGTGAAGTGACATTATAAATTAGACTTTAGACCTATTACATTGATAAAACATACTCCTCAAGATAAGACTCTTTAGGATATATAGGGTATTTTTCCGTGTATTTATTTACGTTATCAAAGATTCAAAGTAACAACTCAAACTCTGATTTTATTCTAGCTAACGTTGACCATTAACACTACCATAATACCATAGATAAAACATACTATGTTTTATCTATGATCAAACATACTCCCTTAGTAGATTTCTCATCCTTATGGAACAGCTGAAGACAATGTTATTGTTAGTTCTGTACGGTTTTCTGCAGATGTCGTGTTTTGTTTACAATTTGTTTCCCGTTATTACAGCGGTGGGGCACACGGAAGATTTCTCAGGTGTCGTTTGACGTCACTAACTGCTGACGTCACTAACTGCTGCGTCTGAAGAAACAGACAATTTTATAATTTTCTATTATTAAATTAAACTGTCATAACCTAACCAAACTAACCAAACGTGCTGATAATGGGAATATCAAATAAAGGTTTACTAATCTAAAAAATAGTTTTGTTCATAAAATAAAATTATAATTGTCTAAAATTCAATTTTATAATTATAAAATTAAACTGTCATAACCTAACCAAACCAACCAAACTTGCTGATATGAAAAAATTGTTGGTAAAAAGTTAGAGCCGCCGGCGGGATTTGAACCTGGAACATTCGGATTATCAGCCCGCATCGCTATCCACTGCACCACCGAGGCCGATGGCCCAAAACCGTATCGTTGCGGTATTGGTGTTCCTTAAAGTGACGTCAGCAGTTAGTGACGTCAAACGGCACCTGAGAAATCTTCCGTGTGCCGTTTCGTTATTACAGCCATTTAAAACCTCGTTTAACCAAATAATACGATCTAATCATAAACAATAACTTGTCCCCTAGTTATATAACCAAACAGTAAAGCACAAATCAAGAAATTAACCCTAAAATAATAAAAACAAAGTTTCGTCGACACTAGCGCCCATGTGTCACGTACATGAACTAGACACGAAAAACGTGCTTCAAAATTTACAATGGGATGAGAAGTCTACTTGTGTTGGTTAGTCTATGATAATACTCATTTTTAGATACAATAGCACTTTTAATGGTGTAGAAACGACAAAAAACAGAGGCTGTGATAAGAAAAATTTATAATCAATGTAACAGGACATTCTTGCGCCTGTTCTATCAAATGTCTGCAAGAAAACTGTCTCTACTCTAATATTCCCTTATTCCCTAACTTTTTTACTTTTATCGTTTTTTTATCTCTAGTGCATCTGTCATCTGTCAGACTCTACTGCTGGACTGTCGCTATCGCCTTAACCTCAACACAAACACACTACTGAATCGAAACTTAAATACAATACAATGTTTGGACTTTTCTGGGGCGTTGATAAGAGATTTTCTGTAAAGTGAAAAGTGACTGTCATTGTGTCATTTCCTTAACTACTTCCTTAGTTCCTTAAATAAAATTTACCACTGCTCTAAAAGTTATAATTTTCTTGGACGGTTAGTTAAAATTGTTTTTATTTGTTGTCGTACAACTTTTCTACAATGGTTCTTCTGAGAAAAAAGGTTAGATTTTAGCCATAAGTTAATGTAGTTTTTAGAGTTAAAGAAAGGTAATACCGTAATATTAAGGAAGTCAGATGGCAGTTGGCAAACATTGTTTATCAACAGATGCTAACATATTTGAGATGTAAACTTATGTGTCCTAGGGAGGTGCACTTAGTAGGCCTATTTATTTTAAGTTAATATCTTTCATGCACTTCTGCAGTGCATAACTTAGAACAGGAATACTAATTTTTTATTGCATAAAATGAATTACAGTATTTTGTATCTATTCTAAATCCAAAAATGCATCCTTTTAGTCAAAACATTCCAAGAGTCCGACAATGGAAATCAAAGGATACGAATTAAAACAAGGCCTTACTGAATGGTTCTGATGTCGGCTTAGACTAATTTAATCCAAGCTCTAATGGTGGCTGATAATTAATTATATATATGAAGAGAGCAATCATCTGTTCATATACAAATTAACAGCGGTGATTCTGTGGCTCAGTTGAAGGTAACTTAGTGCTATGGACTACGAGCCCATGGCAGCGATGTGAGTTTGTGTCCTAAAGCCCGCTACAAAATTTTATCTGTCTAGTCCACTCTTGTACCTACTGTATTGGCTCACTTTGTCTATTAGGCTCCACACACACAGGCCCGGGGCCTATTTGAACAGACAATTGAAAGATGACAACTACAAGCTTCCACAGTCATGACATCTGATATTACATTAAGCTTATTTACTAGAAACAGCTAGGCCTAGAAAGAGGGAGCTGCATTCCTGCATTCCACAAAGTAAGCGTTACAAGTGCTTCTGTTTTTAGGTTCTCCAACACGTGACTCGATTGGCTTACAGCACAAAACCTAACCTAAATGAAGTACTCATTATTAGCGGTGCTAGGACCCCTATGGGCTCTTTTGGAGGATGTCTTTCTTCCATGAGTGCAACCAAACTGGGTGCAATTGCTATTCAGGTAAGTTAAGCATTTTCCTTTAGGTTCTGACCTTAAAATTTTTTGAACAAGTAAAATTGTTAATTAAATTTTAATAAGATTTGTAGTAAATCCTAATTGATCCTTACTGGTTTAGATTATTTAAAGCCTATATTGATATGAAGAAAGGCGGTGGCATTCTGGGATATTTTTGTGTAAACCGTTACCTTAAAAGAATAAAACACATTTCTTACAAAAAAGCTAGAATAAATTACATGGTTCTTAACTTAACGTTATGACATTTTTATGAATTGCTGTCAGACAGCTAGGTACAGTAGTCACAGTTAGTCTGGGCCCACGGACCCTTGTGTACTAGCGGCTCACTCACCCCCACAACCCTCAGCCGCTGCACTGACGGCTTACTGTGTGGGCCAGATGTTTTTGGAAATGAGCAATAAACACTCCTCTCAACACCCCCCGCCCTAGCGCGGTCCCACGCCCGGACTAGCTGCGACAGCTGTACAGGGGTGGCATAAAATATTGGTGGAATCTGGATTGATGAGGGTTTACTGTATGAATTATTCATACTTAATTGATGATAATCAGTCTTTCTCATAGTGCTTCATTACCCTTTCAGTGTTTGTTCACTTTAGAGACTCCAAATGAATAAAATAATTTATAAATAAAAATACTTTTTAAAAATGCCACGTTTTTAAACACACTAAAAAGTATAAAATAGTTTATAAAATGTTGAGAGAATAAATACTTGTAAGATTTAAAACAAAAAACGTGCGGCAAATGCTGATTTACAATTAACTTCACCTATTGAACTATTATGATCTATTGCATGCGCCCCACGTTTTTTGTTTTAAATCTTACAAGTATTTATTCTCTCAACATTTTATAAATTATTTTATACTTTTTAGTGGGTTTAAAAACGTGGCATTTTTAAAAAGTATTTTTATTTATAAATTATTTCCTAGTTTTTAGTCTTTAATGTGTAAATATGTTAAATCTATTTTATATAGCCTCTTAATACATAACCAAACCCCAAAACCTTATTATCTGTAATCAGATGTTTTATCTTTACTTTGAAATGATTGTTTTATATTTTTAGAATATCTCGGGAGCAGAACCTGTAGGCCTACCTCTTAACCTCTGCTCAAAACTGTCAAATTTAAGTATTTACAGCTGACTTGAATTAATTTATATGTTTACATTCTTTTAAAATGTAAACATGGGAAATTTGGAAGCCAAAGGGGCGTAGCCCAAGGGAAATATGAAAATTAAATGATATAATATTGCATTGTCATCCATTTGAGAGCTATGTTTTAAGTTTCAAGTCAATAGCTCATCGGGAACTTCGTTTAAAATTGATATCAAAATTTGTAGGAAAGCGAGCTAATAAAAACAAGCCCATGGTGCGTAGTCCAAGGGAAATATGAACATTAAATGATATAATATTGCATTGCCATCCATTTATGAGCTATGTTTCAAATTTCAAGTCTCTAGCTCATCGGGAAGTATCAAAATTTGCAAGAAAGCGATTTAATAAAAACAAGCCCATGGGGCGTAGCCCAAGGGAAATGTGAAAATTAAATGATATAATATTGCATTGTCTTCCATTTGTGAGCTATGTTTCAAGTCTCTAGCTCGTCGGGAAGTTAGTATAACATTGATTTTAAAATTTGTACCGGACAAGAAAGTGAGCTAATAAAAACGTTTTAATAAAAAATTTCTTTGTAAGCTATTTGGCCTATTTTGAAAACGTCCCCCGGGCAACAATACCGGTATTTTTTCTTTATTATTTTGGAGACTCTTAAGTATCCAAAAATACTAGTCTTTTCTCATAGCCCATCAAGAAATAATTGCAAACATTATGGGGGAAAACATGTAGGCGCCTAAGTACATAAATTTTAACTTCTAGTGGGAAGTTATCGTTTGAATTTTCATTTCCTGGTACATTAGTTGATATCTTTGTAGTATCAAATCTTTCTCTTAGCCATTGCTGTTATAGTGGATTTCAGATAGTTGTTATGTTTCTTCACTACAGGTCATCAATGTCAGATTGCTATCAGCTACACTCATTACATTCAACTTCCTTCTCGTTAATCTCATTAGTCTAGTTATGGTTTTAAATTTTTAAAAGATTATAAAATCATTATCCAATTCACTGTAAAATATTTTAATATTACCTACTCAGTAAAGGCACTTAATTTAGCTGTAAAACCATGCTTTACTGATTTTATTTTTTTTCATAAGTTAGGCTTTGTTGTTTCTCAGTTGCAACCTTGTCAACAATTATCAATCAAGCTAAACTTATCTTGTATGGATTACACTGTAAACTTTACCCTCTAGATTTTTCCAAATGTTTAAAATGATTCCCTCTGCATTGTATAATATTTCTTTATGAACCAAATAATATTATGATATTACAGTGGTAGTGTCTTAAAAAAAAACACCATAGAAAATGTTAAATACCCCCGCCGCAGCAAACCTGCAGACTTAGCGAATTTCCATCTGCCTGATTGGATTTAAACTAAAATGTCTTCTTAAAAATATCACATTTATTCCATATTTAAACAGAATTAGTTTAATGAGTACTTAGGTTTGCTGCAACAGGGAGGGTAAAAAAAGTTTTTTTAATGTAAAATATTAAAAGGTACTGTGGTTTAGTAAGAAATTAATGTATTTTCCAAATTTGATCAAAATATGTTCATAAACAAGCAAACTACAACAGTTGACTTATTCTCCATAAGAATAACATGGGAATTTTAAAATTACAATTTTTTTTAATTTTCTCCATTACAATTAGGCGCATAATAACGCTTCAATATACTAAATTATTTGTTTTTTAAGCTCTACAAAATGGTTTAAAAAGAAATTGTGAAATTTTGTGTTTTTAGGGTCAAAAATGAGAAAAACCTATTTTTACCCCATAAAACCCCCCATAAACCCCTGTTCCCATAGTCTGATCATGCTGGTTCGCAAACTCATTCAAGTTTATCCCGCCTTACACCTTCAAACCAAATTTTATCAAAATCGGACAAAAATTACTCAAGTTATCGTGCGGATGGACACATATATATCTCTATATATACAGGGTGACAAAAAAGTCTGGAAACGGTTTAATATCTTGTTAACTAAATTCGTTAGAAAATTCAAACCTTTCACATCAACTTACATGTATGAAAACTACTTTTTGCAATCATTGCCATTATTTGACCTCCCCCAGGGGACGGCCCACGAGGAGTAGGTACATAATCTTTAATGTAAGCATAGGTTGATATGCACATCATTTTAAAGGTATGTTCAAGTGGAGTTCATTGCCGGAACCCGCGTCAAAAAAGGCTCATCCGTTACAAAATGGCGGCGGTTCAAAGTTCTTGCGGAATATACCTGCAGAGGCCTTAGTATTGGTAAATACTCATAGTCAACATTAGCAGGGAAATCTGAAACCCGGTTAAATTTGTTTTGAAGATTGAATACTATTAGTCTATGAGCTAGTTGACTTTAAAATACAGTTTGAGCTCTCAAGCTAATGTTTATTACGAGTATTTGCCCATACTAAGGCCTGGGCAGGTATATTTCACAAGAACTTTGGACAGCTGCCATTTTGTAACGGATGAACTTTTTTTGACGCGGTTTCCGGCAATGAACTCCACTTGACTAACCCTTTAAAATGGTGTGCATATCAACCTATGCTTACATTAAAGATTATGTACATACTCCTCATGGGTCGTCCCATGGTAGAGGTAAAAAAATGACAATGCTTGGAAAAAGTAGTTTTCATACATGTAAGTTGATGTGAAAGGTTTGAATTTTCTAACGGATTTAGTTAAAAAGATATTAAACCGTTTCCTGACTTTTTTGTCACCCTGTATATATATATATATATATATAAAAATTTGAACGAATGGTGTTTTTGGCCTCTGGGGACATCAAAATGAAAAAGTAAATCGGTCCCGGGCTTAGGTCTTACCATGAGACCTACGGTAATAGCTAAATTACTTCCCTATAGGGAAATTCGCTAAAAGTAGCTAAATGACTGCTTGTTTTATATTGTACAGTGTCCCAAATTTCTTTGTAACGGTTGTGACACCTACATGAAATAATAGTAGGGCCTTAAATGATAGGCCAACTATAGTTAAGTTTTGTATATTTGAGCGCCAGCTTTATATTTGTTTAAAATCTAACAACCAAGAACTTTTAGGCCCTACTTGGTTTTCCACATGCGGGATTTTCAGAATATGCACAGAATCAAAAAGGGATACAGTACTAAATGGAATTTTCGGCTCTGATTTTCTTTTCATAGGCTATTGCTTTCTTGACAAAATTCCCAATTGATAAAATTATTTTAGCACAGTATTATGACAAGATAAGCCAAAAAGATCACTTGGGATTGAACGGGAAAATTTATGTGGAATGAAAAAGAATTTTTCATCGTACAGTATTGAAGCGGGATTTTCTCAACCCGATAAGCTGGTTTTTAGTTTTTAAACATATAAAAATACATCATATTTGGCAAGGAATATAGCAAACTGCATCTCCATCCTATATGATACAGCTGATTTATTCTGTCTGTAGGCTGCTATAGAGCGAGCTGCAGTACCTAAGGACGCCATACAGGAGGTGTACATGGGCAACGTTTGTCAGGCCGGAGTGGGTCAAGCTCCCGCAAGACAAGCAGCCATCTTTGCTGGTCAGTCGCTATTTACTTCTCACTATCAAAAAGTATCTACTTTTCAAATGAAAATTCCATTAATTTACCTATATCACAACACTGTTATTGTCGGAAAATTTAAATTAGTAATTATAATGGACCAAGTTAAAGAGTGAGTTGCCTAACCATGTCGAAGTATTGATTTGGATAGAATAATTTATCCTCAAACTCAAAATTAATCCATTTATTTACAAATAATGTACTGAGATCCAAACTCCAGTCCTACTATTATAGTCTTATGATTCAAATACAGTATGCTCAAACATTATATTTAACTCAATCTGTTATTGTTCAGGTCTGCCCAAGACGACGGAGAGTTCTACGATCAACAAGGTGTGTGCCTCGGGCATGAAGGCAGTCCAGTTGGCTGCTCAGAACCTCATGTGCGGCCACCAGGTATGCCAATATATCCAACTGAAATAGTTACTTTATTCCAACATTAAGGGTCAAACAACCGGAGCATGTTCCAACACACATTTACACCCAAACTATTTTTTTACAAAACGAGTTCAAGTAATATTTTAGCTTACTTGAGAATATTCTTAATTTAGGACTTTTCAGAGAGCATATTCAAAATAGGCTACCCCCGCCACAGCAAACCTGTGGACTAAGCAAATTTTCATTTGCTTGGTTATATTTTTACTTAAATATTTCTTTAAACCTTTCAGCTTTATTCACTATTTAATTAACATCAGGTTTAACGAGTACTTAGGCTTGCTGCTACCGGGAGGGTAATGAAGTGTGTTTTTTTTAAATAAAATGTTCACAGCTTAGTTAGTATAAAATAAATAAATTTTCCTAGTTTCATCCAAATATATCTGTAAATAAGCAAACTACAGCTTCAGGTTATATGTTATTCCTTATATTGGAAATTCGCTAATATGACAAAATATTAGTTTTATGTTTTGTTAACTTAATTTCTGTATCAATTTGGCTTTAATGTTCTAGTTAACAATTGGTATTTTGATTACAATCTAAGGTGTCTCGGTTAAACAATATTCCTTTTTTTCTAGGAGGTTATGGTAGCTGGAGGAATGGAGTCAATGTCAAACGTTCCTTTCTACATGCGGAGAGGTGAAACCAGCTATGGTGGCGTTAGTTTGCTGGTAACATTCATTTTGGTTTATCTAATTAATCCTGTCATACTTTATTGACTGATTGACTGATATTATTATTAGATTAATTATGTACAATTATTGACTGTTTATACAAGTTAATGTGTACTAGTGCACATGTTGCTCGAATTCGAGCAATTGCAAAGTATTACAGGAGTTATTTCAAAACGAATAACAGTCATATTTAAAATGAGATTAAAAGAGTCAACTCAAAGATTACTGGTGTGTAACAGACTATGTTTAACTTCGTTATTGATAAACCTAAAGCATTCCGGAGGGTTTTCCCCTTCTCAAAATGCCTCGCTGTACGGGCAACACAGGTCAATAATAGAGGGCCAATTGAGAACGAAAAGTCGTTTTGGGGTAGTGTTGGGGCGCATTTGTAACCTAATAACTGAGATTGTCCAGGGTCAGGTGCTGACTGTGAAGTTAAGCCTATTACGCGCCACTGTTCTGTAGCTGCGGTCGTTATCATGATTACACCTCCTGCCTATGTTTCGTTGTCGTCACGTCGGAGGCATTTAAAAGAAAAAACAACAAATAAACAAATTATAGGTAGCTACACAAAACAACGATAAATGCACAAATTTAAGTTACAATTATCCTAACACGATCCGTCATAGCGACACAAAACAACGATAAATACACAAATTTAAGATACAACCATACTAACACGATCCGTCTTGGGGGTTATGTTTACACAAACTCAAATAGTAAATAAATGAACTCAATGCGTTTCATTGAAATGAAAAATAAATAACAGCAATTAAACTATACAGCTGATCAAAATGTAAACAATTATGTTCTTCTTAAGGATAACATGGGGACTTTCAAAGCCACTGGGGGCAGAGCCCAAGGGACTTTAAAAAAATGTAAGGCCAGTTTGCAAATCTACGCGACACGCTCTTTCCAATGAGACGTCAATGGATAAAATCGGTTAAGAAATGGCGGAGGAGTTCAACCGACAAAGTTTCATGTAGCGTATTAATTATATAGATAACAGTTTTGAAACTTTTTCTGGTATTTCAACTCAATATATCTAATTTTTAGCCTGTGGCATTAGCACTTTAGGAATTTAAATTGGATAATTGTTCAGATTTTATACTAATTGTTTGTTATGTGATTCCCTGGTGTTTTTATATTTTGTTATTGTTTTTATCTATAAATTGTTTAAAGACAATAAAAATCTTTGACTTTTGACTTTGAATATCTACGGTACATTGACTTTTGGTGCAAAGGATTATGGGAAAACATTCAGTAATACATTTTCTAGTCTAGGAATTTTTTCATGACCAGCCAATAGATTTTTTTCCACGCCAAAGTTATTTTTTATTTAAGTTTTTATTGGAGAGAGAGAGAGTATTCAAACGCTTTTAGGGCAAGCGGTTGAAACCCGCTGTTTTGTGGATTCAGGGAATTGAACCTGTCCCCTTGCTGTATCCGTCTTGAATGGTAACCTTAAATTATTTCACTTGCGTCATAAGACACCAGCCCAGTCTGGAACTAATTATAAAGTTGAGGCCAGGCTTGCTGAAAAATTATACGTTGTTCACTAGATTGAAACCGGTGCCTCCAAAACCGGTGTTCAACAACCAAACAGCACCTTTTTTCAGTTTTGTGTGCTGGTCATACAAGAAAAAGAATGCAGTAACATTGTAGGTCACCGGTTCGATCCTGAGAAAAGTCAGTAGCTTTTTGATGGTTTGAAACTGGACCCAGCTGTACCTCATCATTGGGCTTTACATAAACTAGGTGGCGTTCGCAGAGGCATCCACAAAATTGAGCGGAGTCATCAAGGGTTCATATTATATTGTTTTTGTCATACTGCAGTAAAAACAGTCGTTTTTAATGCATGCGTTGCAGGTCTAAAGTGGCATTTTTACTCTTTAGGGAGTAAAAATCGTTTTTAGCCTCTATGGAGTTAAAATCTGCTATTGTCAACTCAGTTGTAAATTTCTATTGTAAACAATTTCATGTATCGATTCGTGCTTCGTAATAATTTCAACCTACATTCTACAGTCTCTTCCCATAGCATTTTAGCATTGCAGATACATTAATCCATTCCCACACTCAACACTGCTCACCTTTACTACTTTCTTCACCACCCCCTATGTCGTGGAACTGTTTCAGTAAATAGAATGCTTCAGCATTTTAGAATTGCAGATACCTTAATCTAATCGTCATAAACAGTTCCCACACTGGAGGAGTTGGCGTATTACGAAATGCATAAGAGTCAACGTATAAGAGCTTTGCTCGCTCCGCTCAATGATCTTGGCTAATGTAACAGCTGATCTTAGTCAGTAACAAAGCCACACAGATCATCTCACACCATTCTACACTTATCCTCCACTCATATTTGGGTTAAAATATGCACCTACGTGGCGTCCCCATCTCAATGATTGATAATTGTATTTTATAGAAAAACTTACATTACCTACATTGAAAAGATTACGCGTTGGTTGTGTTTAGGATGGTATTGTGTTTGACGGACTGACAGACGTTTACAACCGCATCCACATGGGCAACTGTACGGAGAACACTGCGAAAAAGATGAACATCTCTCGGCAGCAGCAGGACGAGTACGCCATCGGAAGCTATAAGAAGAGCGCGCTCGCATACAACAACGGAGACATTGCGCAGGAGTTGGTGCCTGTCCCTGTGCCACAGAAGAAAGGTGAATCTAATATTGTCTTAATGTATATTACTAAATTTGATTGGTGGATATCTCTGTGTTAATTTTTAGTGTCACCAAGGCATGGAATAACCGTAAAAGAGACAAAACATCTCTGTTTTCCTTGGAACGGTGTTTAACATGTCACGTCTATAATGACAAAAAGTTAAATTCCAAATAACAAGAGATTTTTTTAAGTTTGCGGATTTATTAAGGATTATTATATTAATGCTTCAAACCCATTTAAAATACTGATTGCTAATGTATTAAGATCAATGTTTTTTTATTCCAGGAAAACCAGACATTGTTATAAATGAAGATGAAGAATACAAAAGAGTGAATTTTGACAAGTTCACCAAACTTGCTACAGTTTTTCAGGTAAAGAGGGTTCCTAAATATTTGAACAAGAAAAGGGTTAAACAAAAAGGCAAACATGTGAACTGTTGGAAGATTTACAATCAATGAAGATACTAAATTGTCAAGTATTCTTGGTAGTATAGAGCTCAAGGCTGGAATAGGGTTGATTTTGAAAGAATGAGCAGGCTTACCTGAGTCCTCTTTATAGGAAACATATTCATACACACTCACAAAATTTAAATATTTTGTGGTAGCATAGAACTATTTTCATTGCAATAAATTGTCATGTTATATGAGGAATTATTGAAAAAAATTTATATCCAATTGGTTAAAAAAAGTTTTTTTGGTTTTTTTGTTGTAATGTAGCTTTGGCTGGAATTTTGTTGTAATATTGTTATGTTTTAGATACTTTTTTACATGAGAACGGAATCCGAAACGTTGTGCAAACTTATTTAATCTATTCTCAAGATAACATTATTTAGGTCTACTATAGCTAACAATAAACTTTAAACAAATTCTCAAGGTACTCTTGTATTTGTAACAGAAAGAGGGAGGCACAGTTACTGCAGGCAATGCGTCAACACTGAACGATGGAGCTGCAGCTTGTGTTCTAATGACTCCAGACGCAGCTAACAGACTTAACTGTAAGCCAATAGCAAGGATCGTAGCCTTCCAAGACGCGGCTACTGAACCGATAGACTTCCCACTTGCCCCTGCCTTCGCCATACCTAAGGTAGGTAATCAACTTCCTTCGCTATACCTACTATGTAATCAATGCTATCTACTTGTGTTGGCCTTGTAGTGTCAACATTATTCATGATGCTATGTTTAGAGGATCTGTGTTGGTGTATCAGCGGCATCGATCCTTTAAAATGGCACAATGCTTAATTTTTATTAGATACAGTAAGCCTACAAATTTCAACCGTTTTTTTTTGTGTCATATATGTGTGTCCGTTCCAAATAGTGTGATAATATAAATATATAGTGGGCAAGTCATCCTTTAAAGTTCTACCATTGATTTCCAAATAGTTTCATAATATAAATATACAGTGGGCAAGTCACCCTTTAAAATTGATTATTTTCTTTTTTTTTTTAAGAGGTTGGCGACCTTTTTTAACCTTGCATTTGCCCGTCCACATAGACTAACCGCCCGTGCCCGTACGTGGAACGTTTACAGCAAAGCAAGGAGTGAGCCGGTACAGTACAAAGGTGAACTGTACTGATAAATTTTAGTGGCAGTGACCAGGATCCGAACCCAGGATTACTCCTAACCACATGTTATTGAAAACCTAAAACGTAGTCTTACTTAATAATCCCCATTGCAAAAGAACACAATTATTGTTATTGTACATTTCCTCCACATGCAAAACAGTAAATCTCCATATAAGGCTATTCTATGCAATTATTTTACTTTAATTTAGATCAATTGGTCCTGCTTATTTTTTCAGCTGTTGGAGAAGGGTGGGGTTCGTAAAGAGGACATTGCACTGTGGGAAATCAACGAGGCTTTCAGTGCTGTCGTGTTGGCGAACATCAAATCCCTTGATATCGACCCAGCACGCGTCAACGTGCACGGTGGAGCTGTCAGTCTAGGACATCCCATCGGGTGAGTCATCATGATAAATTTTATAAACTTGGTAATGCATCTATTTTCAGAAATTTATCAACCCATGATTGGCATACCAAAATCGCACTTCCTGTTTACACACAGAAATCAAAATTTCTTTGGCTCTTTTAGTGATTTACAAAAACTATTTTGATTTTGTCTTAGATTATTATATTACTCTTCACAAAGATTGGAAGACAATTTGCAACTAGTATATCTATATACCGGTCTATTTCACCCCCTCATAAAGAAGGCTGTTGCGGCATTTTGACAAAACATAACCTTAAAACTCTCACTTGTTGTTTAGTAATATTTTTGTTTTCCAAAACCGTAGACGTTTTGGCAACCATAGAAACTAAAAAATTACATGCAATAACTTTTACAGATAAACAGAAAATTATTGTTGTATTATTTCAGTATAGTTATAGAGGGGATCCCGGCATTATCATTTCGTGATTGGCGGTATTTGAACCCAGTACCTCGGGGACCAAAGTCCTGCGCTCTACCACTAGACCATCTCGCTCCCCATATAACTACCGCCATATTGGAAATTTCCATTTACCAAAACTAAATTTTCATTTTAAAGTATCTCTTAAATTAAATAAATCTTTCCAGAATGTCTGGGTGCCGCTTAATCGTCCACCTTCTTCACGCACTCAAGCCTGGCCAGAAGGGAGTGGCGGCCATTTGCAATGGTGGAGGTGGCGCTTCGTCTATCCTTATTGAGAAACTGTAAGTCAAATATCTTTGACAACCTTGAATCAACAAACTTTGATTTTGGCTGAGTGAAAAAAGGTGAAGGTGACCATTATGGTTGTTCTTTTGATGAACTGTTTTGAGTTTTGTAAAAAAAATATTTTCTATATCTGTCTAAGTCCTCTACAGTTAGTTGACCATTAGAATAAACGAATGTGCCATTTAAATGTAAATACCACTATATTTTTTATTTATTGATATTTTTGTGATTTACTCAAACATTTTTTACTTATACATCCGTAAATTTAAATATTTTTTAACATTGTTATTATTTCATAATTCACTTATAATTTTTAGCTGTGTTTACAAAAATATACCTGTAATGTAGATTTTCTAATATAAAATGATTGTTATCCATTTTCAATTTTGAAAATGTTTACATATTGTACTGTAGTTACTAAAAACTAAAAAGTGATATTTAAGACTGAGGACAGTGCAAGAAACACTAATTTGATGTGTATCTATCTAGACCTTATATTTTTCTTAGGTTTGTTGTTTTGTATAACTTTATGCAACAGGGTTTAATATAAGTAAGTAAATCTCGTAAATTATTTTTAAACATTTTATTGTAGTCAATGATGGGCCTACTTATGTAAAATTTGATTTTGGGATTTATTTCATTTTTCAATTTTAACCTTCCAAAATAATGAAAACTTTATAATCAGTTGTAGTTTTTTAAATAGTTTATGTCTATATATTTTCAAGTAAAAATCTATATCAATATTAATATTCTAAATAAGCGCATGTTATATATTTTTAAATATAAATATTTTTGTAAAACTGTGTTTTATTTTACCTGCTACTTTTTTGGAAATTTTAAGACAATCTGCTGATGCTAAATGGGTAAAATATTTGAGTAAAAAAAGATTTTTCAAAGAGTAAAAACCCTCATTTGAAGAAAGCTGTTTAGTTTGGGTTTTAAACTTATTACCGTAAAATGGGGTGAATAGAAACAACAGGGTGAATAGAAACAAAACTTCAATGAATGATTCACATTTTTATAACTTTGTTATACATTGACTTTATATAAGGGAATTATTTTCCCCCATTATAACCATATCCTATCTACCTGGGAAAAATTATTTCAGCATATTGGTATCACTGCTTCGAATGTTGGATGATGCGAAACCTCATTTGATGATTTTGGTGAAAAACATTCTTTTCAAAACTTTCTCTCTAAGTATGAACCTATTACATGTATTTATGTTAATAACCATTTTTTATATTGTCTTAGGTATCTTAAAACCAAGTGTGTTAATAGATTAGCCTTAGAATAAACTATATTTTTTTACTTTATTTTTATTTTAGGCTATGTCATGATTTTGCAAAACCAGGGTAAATAGAAACACTTTTTTTAACCAGTGGTGCAAATAAAGGTGGACCTGAAAACCCCCCAAAAAAGAAAATTACCAGAGATGAAGATGATTCCACATCAGTCACACTTCTCACTGGAAGAAAGTGACAAAGACGAACAATTTGATGAAGAAGAACCAGCATACCTAGCTCAAGATATCAGTGAGTCTTCAAAGTTGTCCCTTCATGATCATGTAATTGTCAAAGTAATGGGGAAAAACAAAACTTGCTATCGTTTATATGTTGCAAAAGTTATTGAATTTGACAAGGAAGGATAAACAGGAAGATTCATCAAGAAAATTGCGCAAACCAACAAGTTCTGAGAGACAGATTAAGGAGGCCCTCTTCAAAGTCGATGACGTAGTACGTCGGCTTCCAACTCCCAAGCCGTGTACAACTTGTAGATTTAAGGGAGTGTTGTATTTTGAGGAAGATTTGTCTGATTTAACTCTTCATTTACTTGTTTTCTATGTAAGATTTTGTAACTCTGATTTCACCCATTGTCATTTATGTTCTCCGATTTGTTTGGATAAGGGTTTATGAAAACGATGTTTTTATACTTCGTACTTATATATAAATGTGTTAATTAACTTTAAATATTTTTATTTACAACAACCTAAGCTAACAAGCATAAATTTCATGTTTCTATTGCCCCTGGTAAGTGGGGAAAAGCAACAATCATCAATTTAACACAGTGTTTCTATTCACCCCAAAGTGCAGGGTGAATAGAAACAGCCATACTTTATTTTTTTTCTGCTTAATGATTAAAAATATAAAAAAATTGATAACTGGTTTGAGTAGAGGAGTCCAAGACCGGAAATATGAGCTAGTGTTGAAAATTAAAAAAATTAAAAATATCGTTTTTACAGAAGCTTAAAAGTCAAAAAGTGTTTCTATTCACCCCATTCTACGGTAACTGTAAGTTTGCTTTTAGCGAATTTCCCATATAGGGAATATTAGCCAATTTCCCATATAGGGAATAAGCTATTACCGTAGTACTCATGGTAAGACCTGGACCCAAAACTCAAAACTTGTTTAACTGAGCAGTCAGACATGTTCAAAGCAGATGTTTGTTTTCGGGTCGGTCTACAAGGACTTTTTTCCACAGCAGCACGGACTCGTCTGATCTGACTTTGGAAGGCTTGTCAGCTTTTTTAACGCAAAAGCCATTGAAAGAATAAAAACTCAAAAGTGGATCCAGCCTTGTTCATGCTAAATTCCATCAAAATGAGACCAAAATCTTATCCAGGACTCGTATATAAAAATATGAATCAACAGTGTTATTTTGCCTCTAGAGACATAAAAATTAAAAAGTTACACCGAGTGAGTCGGTGGCTCAGTCGGTAGCGTCCCGGGCTTCGGGCCCAAGGCAGCGATGTCGTGGGTTCGGATCCTGGTCACTGCCGAAAAAATTTTAACAGTACAGATCATCTTTGTACTGTACCGGATCACTCCTTGCTTTGCTGTATACGATCCACGCACAGGCGGTTAGTCTATGTGGGCGGACAAATGCAAGGTTAAAAGAGGACTCTTTAAAAAAACAAATAATCAATCCCGGGTCTGGTTTTATCCATATCACGTAGAGTCATAGCTCCTTCCCTATAAGGACATCCACTAACATTTCCCAACCTCCAACTAAGAAATTGCAGCATTTCCCCAACTGTAATATTGTTGTCAGCCGGATCGTCCGACCTCCTGATGTGTCGCTCCCTCGACTCTCCCTACTGACCAAGGACCCTTGCCCTCTCTGTGATGAGCTCAAGGAGGAACTCACCCCGTACCTGCCCAGGCTGAGCGTGGAGTCCGTGGATATCACCCTGCCTCACAACTTAGATCTCCGGAAACTGTTCCGCTACGAGATACCGGTCGTCTTCCTAGAGGGACGATACGTCTGCAAGCATCGTCTGGACCACCAGGCACTAGAGCGAACTCTGGCAGAAATTGAGGGCGAGTGGAGTAGTTAGTTGTGAAAAAAGAACCAAGTGAAAAACTTACTCATTTTTGTGCAAAGTAATACATTCTAGACATCCTTGTTCATGCAAAGTGGATTCATCATCTTTAACTTAATCTATCTTTGTCCAAAGTGAAGACTATCCCAACAAACATGACACAAATTGTTAAATAGTTTATTTATTTGTAAATATTAGATCAATATTTTAAAGTGTTTAATGTTATTTCCTTAATAAACATGAAACGTGTAGAAATTTATACTTTTTCAAGTCGTCTTTTTAGCCCTGTGAACATTTTCCTTGATAAAGATTTTATTTTTGCTTCAACACTGTCTTGCACTCGAATTGAATAGTAAAACAACATTCTGAATATGTTTCAAAATCGAGCTCTCACAAATCAATCCAAGACTATTGGATGGTAAGTTAGGCCTTTAGAGTTTAGACACTTGTATGTGACTGCCAATAGGATTCATATTGTTTTGTAAAACCAATTTTATAATTTTACAAGTAGTTTGTTAATGTAGATAAAAGCTGTTACAAATTTTTTTCCAAAATCTGAGGGTCACCATTATTATTTTAACAACTAGTTTTGAGCATCTCTTAAGGCCGGTCTACACGCAAGGATTTCGCGAACGTTTTATCTGCGCAGGTAAAACGTTGCAGTCAAGTCGTTGCAAAGAAATGCGTCCACACGGTACAGGTTTCAGCACCAACTTTTAGCGCAGTTTTGTGATAACTTTCAGTGTATGTGCATGTACATATCATGGAAGATGTGTTTCTGCTGGCAATTTCTGCAGCCAGTGTTACAAGTAAGCAAAGAAATAAGTCTGAGAGACGACGGCGCTCGTATGGTCAAGACGTTTGTTACTAAAAAGACGACAAACTTCATAATAGTTTCTCTGTTCACGTTTGAAACTACTGCTTTGTATTTATCAAAAGTATCTAAGTATTTTTTCTTATCACAGTCACTATATTCCTTACTATTGACCCTCCATAAATTAAGGACACTTCTGGACAGTTCGATGAATTCAACAATAAAATCACGGGAACATTGGCGAAGATCTGCGATCGTAATTAAAAACCACACTTATACCTCTGACAGCACGTGAGGACAACACTGCATACTGGGGTTTTGAGCGTGAAGACGGAGTTGAAACGGATGACAGTGTCCACACGCAACGACTTGTCTGAAAACGTTGTCAAAACTATGCTCTCAGCAATAGTTTTATCGCTCCGTCTTCCGTCTCCGCGCAGTTCTCAAAAATGCACAGTTTTGCGGTACACACGCAACGATTTGACTGCAACGATTTACTTGCGCAGGTAAAACGTACGGTAAATCCTTGCGTGTAGACCGGCCTTTAAATTTCAGTTGTAGCTTTGACTATTACAATAGTCAATGGTTGTAGCCAGTTTAAGAAAATAACCAATGGATAAGTTTGATTTACGACCTACAGGGGAGCACTGATGTAGATTAAACTGATTACCGGTACTGATTTCTTTTGGAAATTCTAACTTAATGACCAAGCTTAACTGAAAAGAGTACTAATTGACTTGTTGACTTAAGCATTTTTTGTGTCAGATCAACGTAATAGTTAAAACAAAAATATAATTTCAAAATAGCATAGCACAATCTGTGAATGGCTCATTCAACTAAGTTTCTACTGAATTAAGTTTCCTATAGATGTCCATATAAGGATATCTACTTCAGTATCCAAAACTCAATGGTGTTACTAAATGGAGAAGGAAACACAAGAAATGTTCCTACTACATCTGTGCCACTTTTGAACACAGATACTGAACACTTTAACTTGTTCGCTACTGCAATAGTACGAAATTTTTCATTCACGTGGACCAGCGACGCATATATGCGTCGGCTAGTCACATTAAAATAGACTGCCGTCGCATATTTGCGTCGTGGTTCTAATGTTATTAAAATGTTTATATCTTTGTAACGGTCTATTTGAAGGCACTGAATTCCCTGCAATGGTCTACAGAGATGTCTGACGCACAACTGCGTTGCTTGGTCTGTGGATATGATGATTGGTGACGTCATATGATAGTTGGAAAAACTGGTCTTTACTTTTCTGCATCACTGTATGTATGTATGCAATATGTATGCTGCATTATCCTATGCAGCTTTTATATTTGTTCAGTTATAAACTGTTCTTGATCAATATGTTTTTTATTTTACTTACTTTCACCTCAAAACACAAAAAAATGAACTGTCACATATATGCGACATTTGGTCTATTTCAAGAAAACTATGATAACTATTGTCTTCGCTGTAGACCGGGCGTCGCAAATATGCGACATTACAAAAGGTTATTAATAATACAAAAAAACAAGAATAGATTATTTACAAACACGATTGTAGCGTATTACAATGTAATTGATCACTGTTTTACAGGTTTTCGCCCGTGGTCTGTGTGTACTGTTATCCAAGTGACAGCCGGTCTGTGTGTAAGATTCAAATGTATACCTCGGTCTGTGGCAATGACCGCGGCGTCGCATATATGCGATGCTCAGTAGCGGACGTGTTAATAAAGGATGTAACACAGAACACAAGGGCCTATTTATTAGGATTTTTAGAGGGGATAGGAAAAAGTCCAGACTGGCTCAAGAAACACAAAACATTAGAATATTTTACTGTCACTGAGCATTTTCAAATAAGGAAGAGAGAGGCCTAAAAACTGTGACTTTAACGAGTACTCATAACTCTGGCTTAGTTGGTAGCGTGACAGACTACGAATCAAAGAAAGCAATGTCATGACTTGTGCCCTAAGCTTATGTAGACGGGCAAATGTGAGAAAGGGCCACCAAGCTAATAAAAAACATAACAAAATTTAAAGTGAGGAGTCAGGAATAGACGAAAAACCAAACCACTTAGCTAAACAATTTATTGGCCTGTTGTTCAGCGGCTTCAACCGCTCTTCTGACTGTCTCGTGTAGTCTAGACCCGGAGACACGTAGGGGACGGAGGTTGTAGATCAGTCGAGGGTCTTGACCACGAGGGGTGTCTCCACTACCTCTGATTGCCTCCACCACTGAACTCATCCACTTCTCTGCTGATACGTCTTGTGCTGCCTTCACCTGGACAATACAGTGATTTACAATGTTAAGAAGTGATTATGTTTAGGGACAAGGGACGGATAGCTTACTAACTATAGCCTAGGACATCAGGAGATTAGGGTGTGCAATGAACGATTTTGTGATAATATAATTATGGTTGGTAAAATCAAGAAATTATGAATCAAAATCTTAAAAAAATCAAGTTTCGATATGTATAATTTGTATAAAGTAAATTTTGCAGCAACTCCTGTGTAAAATGATTATTCAGTGCATTTTAATGTATTCTAAAACTAATATTTAATTTTAACTGGCTCTTGTTATAGTGGCGATATTCAAAAAATGTATAGTGATTGCTACATGTTGCTGGATTGCAGCTCTTTAAAATTATTTAAACATATTGAGAAAGTTTTTTAAACTTAAAACATCTCTGTTCAGATTAGGGGTAGAGTCAGTTGCATCAAATTCACCCAAATGAGTCAAAGAGGGTTAGGTTAATCCAGGCTTTTTACTTAAATATATTTGTCCCAAGTAAACCCCAAAAACTGGAGTGATAGCCTACTGGGAATCACTCAAGTAAACTGTTTTTTTTTTTTTTTTTTTTTTTTTTTTTTAAGTTTGTAACAACAACAAAAAAGATGATAACATAACAACCTAGAAGCGATTTGTCAATGGGCTATGAATTAACGATGCTGTGTAACAAAAGATTGACGTTAGGTAGTAGAGAAAACAGGGTATAGCACATTCCTTCAACAACAATTTACCAAAAATAGATAAAAAAAAACTGAAATACATTTAGCATAGAAATACAAATAAAAAAAATCATTAGAATGAAATTTCACTCAAAGTAGACCATAGGCCTGGGCAACATACAGGCCTACTCACATCCTTACAATCCCCTTGGGCTATGACCTGCAGAAGTACAAAATTTGGATGAGAACATTTTATATATTGATTGGTCTCAACCTCAACTCAAGGGTCTCAAAGTGTTCAACTTAACTACTTTTTTGAGCTTGTTAATATTTTTGTAAATATTTGAGAAATTACTTGAAACTTACCTTTGGCACACAACAGCGAGCTTTCAATTCCCCTTCAGCATAAGCAAAAATAATTACCGGCAAATGTGTCGGACACATTCTGGTGACTTTTTGTAGGGAAATCTTATCCAGATCTGATGTTGATTGTAGAAAGTGCACAAAGTATTTTCTATCGTAGTCAGAGGTAACTGTCTTTAGTACTTCCTTCATTTCCCTTTCAATCGATTGCCTAAAACCAGTAGCTATTGCAAGTACATTGTGGGTAGATTAGTTTCCAAAATTATTGGTAGTAGTATGTTAAACATAACAATACTGCAAGATTCAACAATTCATTTATTGGCTATAATTATTCGATGTATTGGTTGATCAAAGAACTATCAGTCAGAAGTATGGATGTGGCTGGGTTTAAAACCTCAGTGAAGGAAAAACATCAAAATAGGCCTATTTACACATTCAAAGAATTAGATGACATGCCACTTTTTTAACTCGTCGCCATCTCAGTTCACTTTTTAAATTAAATTTGACGCAGTGTATCCGGAATCCCGGTCAGAGACGAAGCCTTCAAGTATTCAAGTATCAAATACATTTTGTTCAGACAAAGCGGTGAAGCACGCTTTCGCAAGTAAATCGGTCATACATAAGCAGCTGTCCAAAACAAACAAATCCGAATGAAACAAAATCAACTTAAACAACTTTTATAAAACTCTGGCAAACTATGAAACTATTTTGTAACCCTTCTTGAATTAAATAACTTACCTTAGACTCTCTCTAGCTTGTTCCTTCAACTCTTTTGAAGCTGCTTCCAGTTCTGCTGCTCCTTTTATTCTTACATCGTATGGCACCATGTCTTCAGATACTTTTTGTTTTAACGATTGCAAGGAACGATTTAAAGCTTCCAACTGAAATCATGTTATATTTATTCACATCTATTCATCAGCTGTTTACCTGTCCAAGAAATATAAGAATGAGATTTTGATGTTTTTCTGGTAGGATAAGATCTCGATTATCCGACCCAAACTAATAAAATCAGACCAAACTAAAAATCATTAGATAAATTAAGTTTCTCTATTGTCGAATATAAAGTGCATGTGCATCAGACCAAACTAAAAATCATTAGATAAATTAAGTTTCTCTATTGTGAAGGGACAACAAGCCTGTCTGTAATGTCTTCATCTCAGGTCAATGACCTTATACCGACCCCACGCAACCCCTCATTGCACACATTTCCTTTTCTCTTTGTCGATTTCAAAATCACTAGGATACATTTCAATCTTTTAAATTTTCAGGTTAGGTTGTTTTAAATTGAAATTTTGGTTGAAACTGTTTTGTTGAGAGAAGTTCCACAATTTCATACCTGCTGATTGTCATGGCTCCCAGCCTTGATGGTTTGTCGCAGTGAACCAATCATATCCAGTATCCTTTGTCCTTCTTCTCTTGCGTTGACAGCAGCCTTGCCCGTCAATGCTGTCACAGTCTTCACTCCTGACCCTGAGCTTCTAACGCTGCACAGGCAGAAGTGGCCGATGTCTGCCGTGTTGGCAACATGTGTGCCACAACATGGCTCCCTGCAACATCACTGGGCTTGGTAAGGTGGCAGCACTGGAGATAACAGTTTGAGAAAACAGGAATTCTTAAAATTGGCAAAAATAACTGAATTGATTTGTATTACTGCTAGCCTAGTGGTCGGGGGAGCTAGCTGGTCTAGTGGTTAGAGCGCGGGATTCCAGTTCCTGGGGTCCCGGGTTCAAATCCCGCCAAATCACCAATGGATTTTATCTAAGTGATAATGCTGTAACCACCTAGGTCTAGCCTGAAGTAATGTGAAAAACGATTCAGGGCTCATAGCTAGCGTCCTAAAAAAAGCCTAGTGGTTAACGACTTGGACTTCGTTACGAGGGGGACTGGTTCAATTACCAGCATTTTCAAAAAAGTTATGGGTTTGGACCACTTTTCCTTAAAAGCAATCCAGATTAAGTTGTTAGAAAATGCCACTGGCGTAGACCCCACAAAAAGAAGAGTTAATAAATGCCGTATGGTTTGGAAGAGGTAAGATTACAAATGATATATGAGAAAAATCATACCGTACTTATTAGTGTTCCACCATCTAGTATACATTATTTGTAGCATTAATGGTGACATTTTTCATAACGAAGGCAAAAAGCAAGTTTTCACGATGTTTTGGGATCTGGAATCTGATCCTAGCCTCAAGTGAGAAAGTTAAAAGAAAACAAGACTAATATACACAAACCAACAAAGGATAGAAAATCACAAAAGAATAACTACACAGAACTGTTGTTAAAACAAGGAAAAATATCTGGAAGAAAAAGGCCTACAGAGATTTATGAGTTTGTTGTAGCTATCCAAACAACTCAACAATGCTGTTGTTGCTATCACTTGTAGTTATTTCTGATTTATATTGTACTGCTATTTGCTTAGTATCTTGCCATATCTCTTCTAGTAATTTCTTTAATGTATTGCCAATTTGTCACTGAGAGTCAAATAATAAATAACCCTCACTTTTAGAGTGGTTATATTCACACAGACACTTACTTGGAGACAAACTCCTCCCCTATGATCTGAATGAGATGTATGTCTTGTGAGGGATAAGTCTCTCCAGGCAGCAAGGTGACATCATCCAGGGACATCAGCTGACTGCTGCTAACAGATGTTCTGGAGACAGGCAACCCAGCTGATACTACGGCCTGAACTCTTCTATCTACCTCTAGCATGTCTGTAAAATCATCATGATTGGACTGTGAATAAAATTTTCTACAGCAGAATAGATGTTTTAAATCCACTGTTGATTGTTTTAGATGGCTAGTTTCCAATCTTTATTGCTACTTTTAAAACCTGACTGTCAAATTGTTGAACGACATGACAAGTAAATAAAGTAATACTAAGACTAGATTGTGAGTGAGCTAATCACTTGTCAGAATAAACTAAATAAAAGTGAAAGAGAGGTCATTTCTATGATAAAACACCTTATGATGTAACAGAGATTGAATTTATTTTTTAAATTTACTGGGACATTGAATAGCTTTAATTAATACGTTTGCTGCGGCACGTCAAATAGCGGGCGTATCCCCAGTGCGGCACAGCCTTTAGCGTCGAGCAAACCCGATTGCCACGTGTGATTGGCTTTCCAATTTTGGTCTGACGAATAGCAAATAACGTGCGGGGATGTCCTGCTTTACAATGAGTTGACGTAGTTCGCTAAACACCCACAGATAGCAGCACTGCTTGGAACGTAGCCGGTCCCATTGGAATTGTATTGCCAAATGGAGGGAAAAAGACGGGACAAAAAGAAGACTTTTGAGATTGCCAGACAGGGATTTTACGGGGAAATTTACTACCAGCCTACACCACAACAAAATGCAAGTCACATACTATACGCTAACGTGATAAAGGTCCGCTTTCGGCCGACACTAGAGCAAAAACGAAGACATACAAAAGGCATTGCCGAGCATTCCCGATGGGGTACGGACGCACCGTACGGGGGCCAAGCGCCGTACCCGATCGGGAACCTTTCCTAGTCCTTTTCCAAAAACTAATTTGACAATTTTTCAAAATAACTCAATTGATGAATAGGAAATTGAAAAACTTCTACTTTTTGGTGTTGTAGTTGAAAAAATGTGAATATAGAAAAAAATCTTTCCAAACATTATGAAACATTACCAACCAGAACTAGTGACCTGCTGTCCATAAGTAGAGAAGCTTAAGGTAAGTTGTCGTTCCGTCACACTGCTCCCCTTCTGATTGGGTGCTACGTACATCTGCCGCAACATAGCGTTGAGGCAGTGTGTGGCCGTGTGGTTACACATGTTGGCAACCCTGCGAGTCTCCGTCACACTCACACGCACCTTGGAGCCTGGCACCAGGTTGGCAGTACTGCACAGTGCACATAAAACCTCAGTGGTAAACACATGTGATTATGGTTGTTTTGTCAAACTGTGGTGTTGATGAGCTTCAAGAACAACTGTTTTTACTTTTTGTTGAGCCAGAGATTAAATTTTAGAAATCTTTGCTTGCTGATCGACATAGGACTACCACGGTTTTACAATTGTCCTTGATAGTGTTAGAGAGGACCTATTATTACTTCGGTAACCTGCGTAAAATTTCCTTTACCTTTGGTCATTGCCTCAAACCCAACTCATGAACGACCATAGTCCTGTACACTTACCTACTAAACATTGTCAGAACTGTGCAAATGTTAATAACTCCTTCTACCTTACCTAATTTTCTGCTAATTTTCACTTAAATACTTTCGCGTTTGTCAAATAGTGGTGGACTTTAATAGCAGCTTACGTCTTAGACCCCATCTAATTATTTGTCTCATATTTGGCAGTGAGCGTTAATTTTCCTTCACTTAATTTTTGGGTGACAAGATCAGTATTGCATACGGGTAGAATCCAGCGACAATATTAGTGGATAAAGTAAAGAAAATCTCTTGTCGGATTTGAGCTAGCTCGCTTACTTGGAAGCTTGATGGAAACTCTTAATTTACGATCAACCCTTGTAATTAATGGCTGAGTAAACTATTTCGACTATAAACTTACCTGACGTTATTCCTGATACACCCTAGGTGCAGCAGGTACCCCTCACAATTCAGCACACTGTCACACTCCAATATCCAGCCTTCTCCCGTTATCACACCCGTATCTGACTGCTGACCTCCGGCCTCATGGTACAAACAAGTCCTGTCTAATACCACGGCCACTCTCTCCCCCTCCGTCACTCTCTCCCCCTCCACCACTTTCCCCTCTCTCAGCACTGCTTGAACTGTCGCTTCAACCTCAGGAAACACATAAGTCACACCATCACTCTTTGTCCGGTCGTAATTATACTTGGCACTATCGTCTGTCACTGCGAAGTTACGTTTTAACTCATCTAAACACTGCTTGGTAAGAAACTCTGAATCTCTTTTGTTCGCTAAAGTGAGAGTTTTCTCCTTAGCTTCAGCTAGTTTGGCGTTGAAGTCGTTCTCGCTGAATTGTAAACCTGAAAGGATATCAACATTTTTAGTAAAAAAAAATAGTAAATTATTTAACAATATATACATTTTTTGTTTTTAAAGGTCTATGTTTATAGCTTTGTTCGGAAAGTAAATTAAAGTAAAACCCAACATAAAACTTTGAAAAATATTTATTTCTTATCTTGAAAAGACATAATGGGAGTTTGTAAACATATGGGAATGGAAGTTAACTATTTAAACCAGTTATAGCCAGTTTTGACTCAAAAGATAATATGGTTAAATGAGCCTCTTTTTAACACCTTAAGACATAGTACCGGGCAATGATTTACCAAAATTATTTTTTGTGTTAAATTTGGTTTATTTGTTAACTCAATATATATGTTAAATTAAAACAATACAGTAAAATCGTAAACACATTTTATCTGTGCTATATCTGTAGTTAAACACGTTATGTAAAAGTTTTATTAGAATAATTTTCCAAAAACCCAAAAACTTATTCATAATACAAGAGCCTACGTCAATATCAAATTTACCAAGTGCTTGACAAAGTTCCTCAATGAGTTCTGGATGCAAACCATGAGTATCAAAGAGTCTATAGGACAAATCCCCAAGCACCTGAAACATATATTTTTCTATAGCTTCCAGGCTGGCTAAGTAGCTGTTGTTATTACCAATTGCAATAACAATTAACAATTGAGGGATGCCTTGTATAGCTTTGTTATTGACTACGACCAGCTGTTTCCTTAGTCAGCACCATCTATTGAAAGCCCAAAAGATCAAGGATAGCTTGATTAAACCCATGTAGCACAGATGGTTGGGCAAACGTTGGCCAACTGTGGGACAGTTGGTCGATGGTTGGTTGGAGCTTCCACAACCAACCAACCGTTGTCCAACTGTATATCTCGTAGTTGGGCCAACCAATATTTACAACTGTGGACCAACATCGGTTCATTGTTAATGAAATACATTAATATGCATTGTTGGGTATCATACATCAAGCCAACCGTTGTCCAACCGTTTTTCACTCCGTTGGACCAACAAAAGATACTTTTGTTGGACCAACGATGGTCCATAGTTGAGTTTACACGACTTTCATTCTCTGGGTCTAGCTTTCACAACATAATTATAATAAAATATCTGGTTTTACAATACCTTTATCAGTTCCAAAAGTTTCCAAAAGTTTTTGGAACTGATAAAGGTATTGTAAAACCAGATATTTTATATATTACAGTTCCGGGGCTACAACAATGAATTTTAATAATTATAATAATGCAAATATTTTTTAAATTAATATTCTTTAACTTATTTGCAACAATTTAAGGGGAAAGAGTAATTAATCATATAACAGTCAATTATAATAGCATTAATAATCTAACGGTAATTAATTAATCTATATTCAAATACCAGTATCCTCTCTAACTCCAAAAAAAAAATAACTACTTATGATGCCTTAACAGATTAACAGAATCATATTATACTGTGTAGTATCAAAAATGTTTGAAGTATTGCGACCATTGCAACTGTCGGCTACTCTTTCACCACTTGAAAACTCTCTAAATCAACAATCACAGATAGCTCAGTGGTAAGGTAAGAGGCTCATAAGTCGAAGGACCCGGGTTCGAGACCCGTCTGGGCCAAAAAATTTTGTTCCAGCTTTTTTTCAAAATTTGTTTTTATGAACTATTTAATCAATTTACTCAACTAATAATTATGCTTTTCGTACTAAATCTTTATTATTTTGTGTGAAATAATTTTGGTTGGGCCATTGTTGGACAAAGGTTGGCTGGAAAACAGTTTAAAGAGGTGACATTTCTACCGTTGGCCAACTGTGTGGCTCCACAATTTACCAACGTTGGCCCAACCATCTGTGCTACATGGGAAGGCTTAAATTAAAGATGTTAAAAAACTTTCATTACCATTTACTAACATTAATTTGTCGTAAAATAAGGTCTTGAGAACCAAAAAGAAGATCGCCAATTTGCTAAGCCATTTAAGGCGACCCAGTGAAGATTCAATCCACCTACTTGGAAGAGCAACCAAAAGGCAATCATTGACTATGTGATCCATAATCCAAATCCGCATAACAGCTACATGACGTATTATCTGTCAATTTTAACCTCCAATAGGCTAATTAGATTTAACCTAGGGAGAAAATGATACCTCAGTATCTTTGATGGCTGAGAGCTCGTTGTACGCAGCCAACATGCCCGGCGCATCGACATCCTGCAGTGGCACCAGACGAGAGTCCCGCAGCACCAGAGAGTGCCACTTCTGCGCCGCAGAGTCTCGCACACTACGCAGCAACTGCCATTCATGTTCTACTACCAGGTGTACCTAGATTAGGAAAACAAATTAAGACTACGTTGGATTTTTCAAAGCATAAACTGCATAGGTATTTATGGCTGTGGTATTTTAACAGCAATTTAAAGGAAAATTATATATAAAATGAAATTTACCACAGGTTTTTTTTTACAGATTGCTAGTCTAATAGTTACTCAACCACAGAGCTAGTTAACTCGTAACATAAGATTTTCTGTTTAATAACTAGTCAATTTGCCCTTTGTAATCAAGTCTTGGTTGAGTTTTGTAGTGGTCTCAGGAATAGAACAAAAATAGTTTGATTACGAACTATTATATCACATCTTTGATTAAATTGAATTACATCAAGATTCAAATAATATGTTTGAAATGTGATATTTATTGACATTTTACCATAAAAAAATAAGAAACTCCTATGTCATATATTGAAAAGAATAAGAAATCAAATGATAACTATGCCAATACCTTTCTCAAGTTCTTTCCAGTCTCCGGATATGTGTGTGAAAGAAGTTCAGAGACGCGGCTACAAGATTCTTTCATCAACTTCACTGGGTCTTTCACCTTGAATGAGCTTTCAGCCACTGAGAGTGCTTTCCTGATAACTCTCCTTAGTTTATGACTGCAAATAAGAAAACCGTAAATGTTTGCATAAAAGAAAGAATTTTTGCACGTTTAAAATTGATCAACACACTAAAACCATTTATGAGTTATGAAAGGTTGGTATCACAGTGCAATTGTGTGTCCCAAATATGAATGAAGGATAAATGTAGAATGAAGTGAGATGGAAGATAGTATTGGCGTAGTGGCGTGAGAATGAGTGGGAACGGTGTTCTGACTATGCTTTTTCCAGAATCCTAAATATCAGTAGGCGACCTGTTTTTTTCCAAGATGGTGGTGAGTGTTTTTGCACTGGATAACTATGCCACTGGAGGATAGTTTTAATGCTCGAGAAGTTTTCAATTCAATCCTGAAAAGGCAGTAGCTGCTTGATCCTACCATCCTTGAACATTGGGCAAGGAAAATAATAAATGCTCCTAAGAAACAGCTAATCCTAATGATTAACAAGGTTGAACAGACCATGTCACAATACTCTACATTTACCCAACATTAAATTCAATTTATTTAGCAAGGACAATTTATTAAAAACCCAATGATTAAAAAACACAACTGGTCCACTTTTGAACAACCCAGGGTGTCTAGTTTGCTTCAATTTTAAAATTGAAAACTGATTCCAGACTTTTCACGACTAGTTTTTTCAACAATTAGTGATGTGTTGATACCAAAATGTATCAATTCACAATTTTTTGATACCGATACCAATTTTAATAGTTAAACCAGATTTTTGAAATAATTTGGTTATAACTACCCCTGTCTTTATGTCATAAAGAAAAAGAACTATTCAGATCGTGGGGAGTTTTTCAAGTAAAGAAAAACATGCAGCAATAAAAATTCTAAATAGCCAATTTGGAGATTTTGGGTTGTGAAAATTTTTTGCGAGTGTGTAGACATCATCATTGACTCAGGCGGTCACAGAAACGCCATCGTAGTCGTCCACGATCGCAGCAAAATCGTGAACATCTTCCGCGGCCTTGTAGACATCACGTCTTGCGCGGTCACGGAAGCGTGATCGTCGTATCGTGCGATTGCAGCAAAATGATGAAAATTTCCGACTTTGATGTCAAAACAAAGTATAAATCCCAACTTTACTATACCATTTTGAAATTCAATACTAATTCCCAACTTTCCCGTTTTTCCCAACTACTAGACCCTGCAACCATAAACCATTCACTTTTTTCAGAACTTATTATTGATAAAGGTACTAATTTTGTATCTAAACTAGCGAAACAAACAAGTATTTAACAATGTTTTACAACAGTTTAATTTTGACTTACTTGTTGTCAGGATACATGTTATCAGATATTGCCACAGTGGCCATTCGACTATGGTCTGCCAGGATTCTGTATGCTGTGTCTAAACCAAGTTCATCTTGTTGTCCGAACCTTCCAGCATAAGGTGGCGCTTTACTTACCTAAAACATTCATAAAAAAAAACACCAAAAACATAAAGGGTAGGACAAAAAGTTTTGATTGAAAAGAATTTTTAACATGTTAATGACACTAAGATGGTTTCCCCCTTCTGTTAAGATTGCATTTATTCTGGGTTTTCTCTTGTAATGCTTAAGTTTAAGAGGAGACCTAAATCAGCCAAAGCATTATCCCCGCTTCACTAAGTTTAAAACCATTTCTCAAATGTAAATATATTACAAATATATATATTTCACTTCTAATCAAAATTGACTACTGCTTTTTAATTGTAGAAACGATTTGTATTTGTTTAAGGGATTATGTTTTTCCCCCAAAGATTGTTGAAAGGATTATTAACAAACCAATGTCTATGAAACTTTTCTAACAAATATATAAGTTTAATTTTATTGGGATGAAATCGCATGTATTCACATTTTACTAGCTTTTGGAATCTCACTAGCTAAAAATAATTACACTGTAAAATAGTAAAATTCTTCTAACAAACCTTGGATATACTACTAAACAGAGGTACGAAAAGGTCTGTATCGTAGTTCGACATCTTGTTTTGGAGAAGAGCTACAAGTCGCTCAAATCCCATTCCAGTGTCGACATGGTGCATTGGTAGCTGACTCAGGCTTCCATCTTCGTTCCTGGAACACACATTAAATTTAAGTCAAATTGAAGTCTTTCATGGAATTTTGCAGGTAAAATGACAAAATCGTAATGTTGAGCTGTTTGGCTAATGAGTGCAATTTTGCCGTAATCCTTTAAAAGTTTTTCTATAAAAAGGTTAGTTTGACAACCTTTCAATATTGAACACTTTTATGGCCTGAAATCACAGAGAAGGTACAAAAAATAATCCCATTTTTACCTTAACCATGATCTAAGTAGTTCTTTGCCTCATAGAATCGTGCAGAATGAGTCAGACTAATGGACTATAGCACAAAAATATTTATTGAAATATAATGGTGGTGTTTGTCTTGTGAATAGTGTTCTTTGGGTTCTACTCTAAAGGAACTTAAGGGTCATTGACTTTGGGTTTTCTTCTTCAGACGTGTAGCAGATATTTTACATGTTTTTTCCTGCCTCCCTTATCTTATAGATCTATAAGATTTCATGCTATAGAAATCTGCCAGACCTAATTGTGACGGCACTCCAACTCTTGATCTACAGTTTGTCTTCCAACCAGTAAGACAATGCATCGCTCAGACATTGACCACACGTTGAAACAGAATTTCCCAAGTTTTAAACTTGACTTGCAACATTTCTCTTGGAAGTTTTCAATCTGCTTTGTTTAGAGTTACACTAAGAAAAATAAGGTCTAGGTTTGAGTTATTGCACTCACCTGTTGAACTGAATGAAAACGAGGTTCCAAAGTTCAGTGACGTCGCTGAAACCTTGGTTGACCTTTGCAGCCACGTCTCGGCCGCCGACAAGGTCCACATGGATCTCGGAACAAGGCCCGCATGGACCCGTGCGACCCATCTCCCAGAAATTGTCCTTCACACCAAATCCTAATATGTGACTTGGATCAACCCTGAAAAAAGTTTTTTAGAGTGAAACGAGTATAAAATATGTTGTACTTATTTGTAGGTTAACAGACAGAGGCAATAATATGTCTTAAAAACCCTGAGAAAGTAGCACAATACTGTGGTTGTACAACGTTGAACTTTGTTTTACAGGAGGCAGGGCCGGATTTCCCAATAGGCCCGGGCCTATGGGAGCAAGATCCCAGAGAGCGCACGACCGGGAGTTTTTTTTTTTTTATACCTAGGCTATCTAAAAATATAAATAAATAGTCATAGTTGATTAAAAAATCTCCAAAGCATTGTGATTCTGAGGTTCATAAGAAGAAATAATTGTTAGGAAATTTAAACTATTTTTTAGAATTACACATCAATTTCGTTACAAAACTGGTAACGAACATTGGTTATACGGGAGTAGGCTGTAGGGATGTTGACGTTGACGAGCGCCCGAGCGGTACGCATGCACATCGTATTCCCACTGCACTGCCATTATGCTGGCTCGGGCTTGGCACTACTGATCAGAGTGATAAGGGGCGCATGCGTACTAGACATTGTTACCACCCTCACCTCACAAAACAAAAGTTACTAACTAATCTTTTGATTAGTTTACAACAATCTGCAGGATCAAGTTAAAATATATAATAAGTTGTGTTGAATATTAAAACAACGATGAATTTTTTTCCTTTAAAATATTAGTATATTTATAAACAAAAAAATATTAATCTCAGTTTGCATTTGATTTTAGAAAAATGCAATACCCTCCAAAGCACCATTAATGCTGTTATTTTCTCCTCAGACCTATTGATCGGTACGGTTAGCCGGGATATTGCTCTGTTTTGCTTTTTGAAATATAACCTAGATGCAGTACGACTATAGATTAAATATAACTCAAGTCGACTTCTTATACATTGCAAATTCAAACTTTTTCATGTCTAGTTCATGTTGTTGACACTGGACGTTAGTTTTGACGTAATGTTGTTTCTATTTTTTTAGGGTTAGTTCTATGATCTGTGTTTTAATTTCTTGTAAAATAAACAGGATACAACCTATTGTTGATGATTAGATCGTTTTATTTTGGATAAACTAGGTTAAAAAAATGGATAAAACATACTCCTTAAATAACAAGAATTGTTTTCAGCTAATCCAAAATGATGACAAATCTACTTAAGGAGTATGTTTAATCTATGGTATCACGTACTGTAATAATGGAGTTCATGTTTCTTGGGCCTGGAATTGGAATCAATGGCCATGTTTTTTTTTTTATTTGCAGGAATGCTCGTTGGGTTGAGTTGTTTTGTTTCAGTCCCACAGCCACAAACGTGAGCATTTATCAAAAGCATAAAATTGAAAAAAGTGTTCAAGACGGCATTTTGTTAAGGCTAAACAAGTCAATTCTAAAAAAAACTTGCAATGATTCCAACGAGGAGTGGTATTCAAGCAATTAATTTAGGCCTATGGGCATGATATAGTTTTTATAAAGGTTTGAAGGAAAGTAACTGTTACCAGACTAGGGGGCGGAAAATTGTTTGGGCTTAAGGGCGCAAAAACGCTAAATCCGGCCCTGACAGGAGGATTAAGGGTTAGTGTTAAGTACCGGTACCTAAAAGTATTTATGATTCTTTATCAGCATTGCACATGGGCGAATGTCCGCCTATTGGGTCCGATGATGATTGGAGTGTCCAGTCGAAATCGATCACCACTTAAAATCTTTTTATGTTTAACTAAATATATTATTACAAGTGTTAACAGTAACACAATGTTCTGACAATGTTCTGAGTTTCAGCTAAATAAAGTGAAAAAAAAAAACAGTAAGTGAAACTGTAACTTTAACTTCATATTTCATGACCATCATCTTTTTATGTTTTACTAGTAAATGCTAACCCGAGTGACAGCCATATTTCCCTGGTTTCCAGATCAGGTGGGATTCCCAGCCTATCACAGCCACTGAAGTACGTCACATACAGTCTCCGCGGATCTATAGAGTAGGGTGATGTTGTCAACAGAGTCCAGGCTAAATCGCAGGCTTCCCGCTAGAAATACCAATTGAAATATCACAAAAAACTGAAATATCACAGAATTCAAAATATTTAGAGGTACCTATGAAGTTTCAGGTCATGTCATGTTTATCTTCTTTTAGAGGGTTTAACTTGTTTCAACTAGCAATTTCTTTAGCAAGGGGTAGGAGGAGAGTTAATAATACAACGTGTCCCATACACCTATTTAACATTGTTAACATTAAGTTTAATAGTCACAAAAGTTAGCTTTATTTTTATACAAACAAAAAAATCCCTAACTAAATACATTTAATTAACAGGGATTTCACTTGTTTCGACATTCCTAACCAACCATTTTCTCTATAGGTATATATTATCATAGACAAATATAATAAATATATACTGTCAGCTGTGCTGCGGTTAGCATAAGTTTTGGCGTCCACCGCTAGGTTTGCCGTGTAGTTAGGGCGCACACCGCTGCAGTGTCTGCTGGTCACATACGGCTCCTGCGCTCCTCGCCTGCAGCGGTGTGCACCGTAACCTTCCTTTGACAGTCTATATTTATTCTATTTGTCTATGATTTTATTTGTCTATGTTTGATTTGATTTGATATTATTGAGATGGTTAAAAAGTATTTGGCTGATTAAAGTAATCGACCAGATTAGCTACGTACACTACTAGTGTCAAATTTTTTTTTATCGTCAATTATTTAACACACTTGAGTGCATATTTTACGCTAAATCTGATTGTATAATGAGAAGAATCATATATAAAACATACTCCCTTAGTAGATTTCCCATCCTTAGATGTCGTGTTTTGTTTACAATTTGTTTCTATTATTTTAGGGATAGTTTCTCATGATTTGTGCCTCACTGTTTGGTTATATAGCTAGTAGACAAGTTATTGTTTATGATTAAACTTAGATAGTTTTATTTGATTAAACAAGTTTTAAATTACCCTACTGAAATAGCAAGAAACGAATTGTTAACAAAACACGACTCTACAGTACACCGGACAGAACTAACAGTAAAATTGGCTTCAGCTGTTCCATAAGAATGGGAAATCTACTAAGGGTGACGTACGATGATTAATCATCTATAGAGAAAACCCCTCAATAGATATGTCCTATTTATGATTGCCAAAAGACTGTTTCCTAATTATTATAAATAAACAGTCATATGTTTTTTAAATTGTTTTGTCAATAACAGATAATAGTTTAGTGTGGTTTTTGTTGAATGAAATAAAGAAGATGGTTTTTGCTAACATTTATTTTGTCATTTTTTAATGTTTGTTATTAGTTAATCGTCCGTGATATCAAAGTAATTGAGTCCCGCACAGTGACAATATCAAGGAATTATGTTTTATCTATGGTAGAATGGAGTGGGATAGCCTGTTTAGCTTTGTTAGTGATTACAGGAACATTATTCAGCTAGACCCAGTTTTTGAATCGTCAAAAAGCTACGGTACTGAATTTTCTCAGGATTTAAATTATGAGTTTCTAAGTTAATTAATGAGGGATCACTATAACCATTCAGTTCCCCTTATACTAATCACCTTAAAGTAATCTCCAAAAGACCAGTTTCCCAACATTTCAAAGAACGTATGATGGTATGAATCCAATCCAACATCATTCAGGTCGTTGTGCTTCCCACCCACTCGGATGCACTTCTGAGAGTTTGCAGCTGTAGGACAGTGTGGTGGGATCTTATTCAGGAATACATCTTTAAACTGAAAAAAATTTGAGTTACTTACAGATTTTGATAGATCAGTTCAAATGAAAACCAGAAACAAACTATGTTTTCTTTATTATTTGCTAACCAAATGAACGTAATGGCAAAATCTGTTTTCAAACAGATGTGAATAACAACTTGGTTTTAGCGAAGAGCAGAGTCCTAAAGCAAACCATGTTAAAAATTACATTGTAGGACAACGTATTACACCATGCATTGGTTTATTAATAGTTAAAAATCTTACTAATATTATAAATATGAAAATTTGTGTGTTTGTTTGTATGTATGTTTGTTTGTTTGAAGTTCAATCACGCATTAACTACTGGTTGGATTGGGTTGAAATTTGGCATAATGATAGTTTACATTCCCGATTAACATATAGACATATTCTTATCTCATAAATCCTTTCGGGCTCTGCCCTAGTGGCTCTAGACTTTTCCATGTTAACCTTATGAGTATTCATATTTAAAAGGAATTAAAGAATTTTGCCAGCTGTTTCAACTACACAAGTTGGTTCTATGATATAGCATTAAAAGGTTGTAAGGTTTACCAAAAGGGTGCAGCACTATTAATTCTTTTTTAATTTACGACAACAGCTAATTTGAACCAAAAGCAGCAACAAAAACCTGTGAGAACATTATTTTTTTCGATTGTTCAGGTTCAGTGGTAGAACATTATGGCTACGTATTGTAGATGTGCCAAAACCAAATTTTCTTAGAACGTGTCCTCTCTCATTGCAAACGCAAAAAAAGAGTATAACTGCAATAAGCATTTTATACTTATACGCCAACCCCGTACGAAGGACGGGTACTCTGCTGGGTTACTAATTCAATTATAGGAGGCTAGTTCCCAGCAAGTATCAATTACTTACTGATGGACAAACAGGCAGAAATTATGTGACAAGCGGGTTTTGAATCTCATTGTATGAAAGATCATGCCCATTAAAATAACACACAGACAATGACTTTGAAAACTGTAAGTTAGCCTAATTTCTCATTCTAATATTAAGTCTGGTGTGCTTTTAGGTGTGCTAGTTTAATTTACACATGTGCTTTGCTCATTGGTTCAGTAGAGACTTGATAATTCAACCAAAACCATGCGTGACAATGTCAGATAACACAGAAAATCATGTATACCAATACAAAAACATACAATTTCTTTGTGATCAACCCCTTGAGACTTCCAAGTTTGTCTCCCATTCCAAGAGCTAGGCCTAACTCACTTTCTTTACATTTTGAATCCTTCATTAATATTTTAAAATGTGGCAAAGTAAATATACCGTACTAGTAAGTTACTGTTAAATATATCCAAGCTATAGCTTACACATCTACTCGGCCACAAGTTTCGGTTCACACAACCAATAAGACTTTTGACACGCATCACAGGCTTGTAACTTAAGACTACGAGTCAAATGCTCAAATTTGCCTAAAGATCAAATTTTGCCTAAAGATCAATAAATGTCTTATGTCTTATGACTATGTGGCTTAAAGTACAGTAAATTGTAGGTCCGTAAAGCCAAGCGCATATTTTCCAAGGGCAGTAAGGGGTATCAAAAGGGTCATCTTGACTCATCCACTACAGTGTTTACAGTCATTCTCATACTGACACAGAAATAATGCAGTTACAGTACTGAATTGTCCATAGGGAGGGTTAGTTAACCAATGGTTGAAAAACATGAAAGGCTTTCAGATAAGATTGTCTTTAGTTACCTACCTAGTACACAAAGATGACAAATCTGTAATGGTATGGAATTATGATATTTTTTTAAATCTACATTACAATATATAATTTGTTTTACTACTAGAAAACCTTCAGGGTACACTTCCATCTGTCGGCACAAACAATCGAATGAGTAATATTGATCGATATATCGTTCGGTTAGTTAGGTAAGGTTAACCTAGCCTAACTAACCAAACGATATATCGAATTAAACAATCGAACAATCAATATAACTCATTCGGTTGTTTGTGCCAACAGATAGGCCTATGGAAGTGTACCCAACCTTCACAGAAAAATGGTTTCAATACTGACCTGGTTCATTCCAGCATTGATAAATGCTATGGTTTTATCATTAAGAGGAACAATAGGGCTTGACCTGATAAAGGTGTGAGAATGTTCGGAGATGAAAAAGTCCAGAAACCTTTTTCGAACATCATAGCTTGAAAGAAATCTCTGAGGCTGGGCACGTTGATGTATTAAATGTCTAAAGCTAAGACTTGTTTTAGTGAAGATCATGACTTTTTACTAAGTAACTTAAGATTCATTCAACCACGCTGGTTTTTGACGAATAATCTAAAATAATTTACATTGAGAGATGTAAACAAAAATGCCGAACATAACCAACCTAGACCTGTAAAATCTTGGTGTTTGTTTTTGTTGTTTCTTTCTTGGTTTCAAAGCAAAATAGCAGACGATGAAAGTAAAATCAGATGTACGAAAAAATATATGCTACAAAGCAAGAACACCAGCAGAAGAGAAACAAATAGACACAAATTTCCCTTAATATTCACTAAGTTAAAATTCTTATGGAAACCATAGATAAAACAGAAACAAAGAAAAAATGGCTAAGCTCAATATCAATATCAACTAATTGTTTAAATTATGACTAGTAGTACGCTTATTCTGCGCGTAACAGGATGAGTGAACATGAGCGCAATAATGAAAGAGTCCACCCACACCTAGCACACTTACCGGTGTCACTGGTGTACACAATAATGTTATTTGTATGGGCAAATCAACCCATGAGTCGGGGCAAATAATGGTGAGTCGGTGACTCAAGTCGGTAGCGTCACGCGAACTTCGGACCCAAGGCAGCGATGTCGTGAGTTCGGATCCTGGTCACTGCCACTAAATTTTATCAGTACAGTTCACCTTTGTACTGTACCGGCTCACCAATTGCTTTGCTGTAAACGATCCAGGCACGGGCGAGGTTAAAAGAGGCTGGACCAACCTCTTAAAAAAACCAAATCTCAGTCAACAACAATCCTAACTTCTCGTCCATTAATTAACCAAAGTAATTGGTAATATACGTAATGTATTTCCTGTTTCCCTCTCTTCTCATAGCATTTTATTATTGCAGATACGTTAATCTAACTGTCACAAAGAGTTCCCACACTCTGGACTGTTCGCCTTGACTACTTCCTTTACCACTTCCTACGTCGTGGACCTGTTTCCCTCTCTTCTCATAGCATTTTATTATTGCAGATACATTAATCTAACTGTCACAAAGGGTTACCACACTCCGGACTCCTCGCCTCGACTACTCCCTTCACCATTCCTACGTCGTGGACCTGTTTCCCTCCCTTCCCATAGCATTTTTAGAATTGCAGATACTGTACATTATTCTAATTATTACAAAGGGTTTCTACACTCCGGAATGCTCGCCTCGACTATTTCCTTCTCCACTTCCTACGTCGTAGACCTGTTTCCCTCCCTTCCTATAGAATTTTAGAATTTCAAATAGATTAATTTAACTTTCAAAAAGGGTTCACACACTCCGGACTATTCACCTTGACTACATCCTTCACCACTTCCTACGTCGTGGACCTGTTTCCCTCCCTTCCTAGAGCATTTTAGAATTTCAAATAGATTAATTTAACTTTTACAAAGGGTTCCAAAACTCCGGACTGCTCACCTTGACTACATCCTTCACCGCTTCCTACGTCGTGGACCTGTTTTCCTCCCTTCCAATAGCATTTTAGAATTGCAGTTACACTAATCTAACTGTCACAAAGGGTTTCTACCTACTTCCATTACCGCTTCCTACGTCGTGGACCTGTTTGCCTCCCTTCCCATAGCATTTTAGAATTGCAGTTACACTAATCTAACTTTCTCAAAGGGTTTTTACACTCCAGAATGCTCACCTCGACTACTTCCATTACCACTTCCTACGTCGTGGACCTGTTTCCCTCCCTTCCTATAGCATTTTAGTATTGCAGGTATATTAATCTAACTGCCACAAAGGGTTTCTACACTCCGGACTGCTCACCTTGACAACTTCCTTTACCGCTTCCTACGTCATGGACCTGTTTCCCTCCCTTCCTATAGCATTTTAGTATTGCAGGTATATTAATCTAACTGTCACAAAGGGTTTCTACTCTCCGGACTGCTCGCCTTGACTACTTCCATCACCGCTTCCTTCGTCGTGGACCTGTTTCCCTCCCTTCCCATAGCATTTTCGAATTGCAGTTACACTAATCTAACTGTCACAATGGGTTTCTACACTCCAGAATGCTTACCTCGACTACTTCCATTACCACTTCCTACGTCGTGGACCTGTTTCCCTCCCTTCCTATAGCATTTTAGTATTGCAGGTATTTTAATCTAACTGTCACAAAGGGTTTCTACACTCTGGCCTGCTCGCCTTGACTACTTCCATCACCGCTTCCTACGTCATGGACCTGTTTCTCTCCCTTCCCATAGCATTTTAGAATTGCAGTTACACTAATCTAACTGTCACAAAGGGTTTCTACACTCCAGAATGTTAGCTTCGACTACTTCCATTACCACTTCCTACGTCGTGGACCTGTTTCCCTCCCTTCCTATAGCATTTTAGTATTGCAGGTATATTAATCTAACTGTCACAAAGGGTTTCTACACTCCGCACTGCTCGCCTTGACTACTTCCATCACCGCTTCCTACGTCATGGACCTGTTTCTCTCCCTTCCCATAGCATTGTAGAATTGCAGTTACACTTATCTATCTGCCACAAAGGGTTTCTACACTCCAGAATGCTCGCTTCGACTACTTCCATTACCATTTCCTACGTCGTGGACCTGTTTCCCTCCCTTCCTATAGCATTTTAGTATTGCATGTATATTAATCTAACTGTCACAAAGGGTTTCTACACTCCGGACTGCTCGCCTTGACTACTTCCATCACCGCTTCCGACGTCGTGGACCTGTTTCCTTCCCTTCCTATTGGATTTAGAATTGCAGTTATATTAATCTAACTGCCGCAAAGGGTTTCTACACTCCGGACTGCTCGCCTTGACTACTTTCATCACCGCTTCTTACGTCGTGGACCTGTTTCCCTCCCTTCCTATAGCATTTTAGTATTGCATGTATATTAATCTAACTGTCACAAAGGGTTTCTACACTCCGGACTGCTCGCCTTGACTACTTCCATCACCGCTTCCGACGTCGTGGACCTGTTTCCTTCCCTTCCTATTGGATTTAGAATTGCAGTTATGTTAATCTAACTGCCACAAAGGGTTTCTACACTCCGGACTGCTCGCCTTGACTACTTCCATCACCGCTTCTTACGTCGTGGACCTGTTTCCCTCCCTTCCTATAGCATTTTATTATGGCAGATACATTAATCTAACTGCCACAAAGGGTTCCCACACTCCGGAATGCTCGCCTTGACTACTTCCTTCACCACTTCCTAAGTGTCGTGAACCAGTTTCCCTCCCTTCTTCTAGCATTTTTAGAATTGCAGATACATTATTCTAATTGTCACAAAGGCTTCCCACACTCCGGTTTGCTCACTTTGACTACTTCCTTCACCACTTCCTACATCGTGGACCTGTTTCTCTCCCTTCCCATAGCATTTTTAGAATTGCAGATACATTATTCTAACTGTCATAAAGGCCCCCCACACTCCGCAGCGCTCGCCTTGACTACTTCCTTCACTATTTCCTTCACTACTTCCTACATCGTAGACCTGTTTCCCTATCTTTCCATAGCATTTAAGTATTACAGATACGTTAATTTAACAGTCTTAAAGGGTTTCCGTACTCCTTTCTTTTCACTGCTCACCTTTGCGCTTCCTTTACTACTCTCTACGTCGGGGACCTGCCCCCCCCCCCCTTCGCATAGCATTTTAGTATAAAAATATACCAACATTTTTGAATATTTAATATTCAATGCCAACATTAAATTGAATAATGTAAAAAGCTGCTTTGTTCTAAGTACATACATACCTATATACTTTTAATTAAAAGGCGAAATTTTAATACTGAACATAAACGGTATATAACTGCCGACTAATACCTATTGTTAAGTTCAATTTATTATTATGAAAGTTGTGAAATTTAATTAGCTTAAATAACATTATTCTGAAAGCTGTGAAATTATAATGATATATATTCATAGACGCCAAACTGTTTACTCCATGTATGAAAGAGCTTAGAGTAAAAGTCGTTCTCTCTGTCTTAAGTAGACAACAAAATTGTTGGTCGCAAAACGTAAACAAATAAAAAGAAGAAGAAGGTAGCTCCTAATGTTATTCTTATGGGACAAATTTAAACATGTTTTTTAAGTATTTTATAATTACTACTGAGCGGAATCGTCTAGAATTTTAATGGTGTCTTTACACTGGTGTCATAACTATTTGTGCAAAATTTGAACGCTATAAGTGCAACGGTTCTTGAGTTTTAGGTGCGAACACACACACACACATACTCCAGCGGACAACTTTTCTCCGACTCCGCTATACACGATACATAGATTCGTTCACTTCGTTCACTCATCTATTATAGTCAGGTTCCATTGTTGACTATATAAAGTGTAGATATGTAGTAAATGGCTCCGTTTTTAAAATAGTACAGATAAAACGAGAGCCGCATCCGTAACTTATACAACGATAAGATTTCTATAAGTATGGTAGGTGGTCCATGTTAGGAGAAAACCCACCATGGTAAAAAACTCTATATCCCTTTTCTGAACACATTTGCTTATTCATTGAAAATTAATCTTTGCATGTATCTGCACAATATTTAACAGCATATAAAAAAGTATCCTGTTGCATGTATCACAATGTAAAATTTATTGTAAAAATGGTGTTTGGTCCTACAGCCTCTTGGAACCACCACTAATAAAATTGAAACTAAATAAGTTTGGTGAAGATTAATATTAATATTAATCCTGATCGAATATAACGTATATTTGAGTTGAAGAGGGACTTTAATTGTGTTATTTATTAAAGCTGGCAGCAGTGGTGCTAGACAAACCCACCAATGACAAACAAAACCAGTATGTCATGTTGGACTGGATTGGAGGTAGTGATCGGATGATCACCACCAGTACTGTCGACTGTCACAGTGTCACTCACTTCCACTTAGTGTTGGGATATCGAAAGAAAATATCGATATTTATATCAACGATAATATCGGAGCCTCAATATCGATATTCCGATAATATCGGACCAAAAATATCGATATATCGGAAAAATATCGTTAAAAATTAATGGAATTGGAATGCTATGGCAATGCTTCCCTTTAACAGGAAATTACCTTAACAAACAATTTAAAAAAATGTGTTTGAAGATATTAAAACAAAGGAATATATACAGACGGTTTGGTAAAAAAAATATCGATATGTCATCAAAAGAAATCATTGATATAAAAATGTCCCTTTAGAAGGAAAGTACCTTTGTTATTACTGAACAATATTAGCCTATCCTTATCGAAGTTGTCAGCTGATATGTTTTAATTTTTTATAATCAATATATCGGATAGAAAAATAAAATATCGATATTCAAAAAGAAATAATCGATAATAATGAATGTTCCCTTTAACAGGAAAGTACCACCATGAACAGCAGTTAGCTGCACACATATGACGTTAAATTGTTTACAATTTATAATTTTTTAGGCTTGTGTACAAAAAAATATACAACAAATGAGAATTTAATGGTTTTGATTGGTTTTCACTGCCGTCACCTCATTTTGGCACTCCACTTCTGCCAACCGTGCCAACTCACTATTCAAATGCAGGCAGAGGCAACCAGATTTAAAATATATTTTTAACTAGATAGGTACATGAAATAGTTTGTGTGTAGGCCTACAAATAAATTTGTTATTAATAATATTTAATAACTGCTAAACAAGTTCAGAAAAGATTAAACTGTATTTTATTCTTTGAAAAATTGCTAAAATCAATTCTAACGATAATATCGAAGTAAAATATCGATATCCCGATAATATCGGAAGTCTAATATCGATATAAAAATATCGATATATCGGAACCAAAATATCGATATTTCCGATATATCGGATATCGATACCAAACACTACGTTCCACTTGTGTCAGTTAAAGTTACCGTGTTGTGTGTTGTGTTGAGTTGAGGCGGACTTCGATTTCCTAGAATCGTTTTAGTTTCTTTGACATGATTTAAGTTTCCTTCGCTATCAGAGAGAAGTTATTTATCCGTAGCAGTTTTATTGAATTTCGGATTAACCTCAAGTATAAGCTAAATATTACTTATGTTAATACTCTGTTAACTGTTCTCCTGTCATTTTTAGTAAACGGGATAGTTGTTTTATTTTTAAATCTTCTCCCAGTAGTTATATCAAGGACATGTGGTAGTGCAAAGTGTTGTGTTTGATACATTTGCAAGCGCAAGGTGACTGCAATTACAAGTTAGTGTTAGTATTATGTGTTAGATTGTTATCTTCTAAACACAGATATGTCCAGACAAAATGAACGCCAGGGCTACCAAGGCTACGCTCAAACCTACAAACTGGTTGTGGTTGGCGGTGGAGGTGTTGGAAAATCAGCAATAACAATTCAATTTATCCAGGTATGGTGCAAATACTATTTTCACTTTATATTTTAACTGTTTTCATTTGTTATGCCTACTTATTGGCTTTTTTGTGTAGGTTATTTTTTATTAACACCCTAGTTGATGAGTCGAATATTTTCTTGACTCAAGTCAAACTCGACTCACGACCATGTGAACTCAAGTTGCAACTCGAGTCAGACTCAACTCGGTATCATCGTGAAACTTCGGCTTCCGTCGGTCGAGTTTGGGTCGACTCGCAGCGCAGCCAATAGGGTTATAGTTTGGCGAGTCGGCTGAACTTGCATTCAGCCAATAGCGTTTACGTTTCGCGAATCAACCGAGTCAACTCGTTACGTCCTGAGTTCGAAACGTTCGGCTTTCTCCGTATGAGTTCGGTTTCTTAACTCGCTGTGAGGCTGCACTTTACTTGACGTCCTACACTCATTCGATTGTTTTTTCGATTCAATATTTTCATTTGATTGTTTCATTCGATATATCGTTTGGTTAGTTAGGTTAGGTTAACCTTACCTAACTAACCAAACGATATATCGAATGAAGCAATCGATTAATCGATATATCGATCGATATTTTCATTCGAATGAGTGTAGGACGTCAAGTAAAGTGCAGCCCGCTGTGAGCCAATAGCGTTTAAGTTTTGCGAGTCGGACTCGTTACGTTCCGAGTTCGTGTAGCTTTGGCAATCTCCGTACGAGTTCGTACCAACTCGAGTTGTGGATGAGATGACTCGAGTTGACTCGACTCGGGTCTTGACTCGAGTCAACTCAACTCGCCAACTCAACTCGTCACATCACTAATTAATAGGCCTAGGTTAGGCCTTACTTATGTTAGCCCATTCTGCACGTCTTTGGCAAATTATTAATAAGAATAAGGTCCTAAATATTTTGTTAGACAGCATTGCTAATTTTGGAATCGAACCAGCTAAGTTAACTTCTTCAGATTTGAATGCAAACACTATTTAACCCTTTCAGTGCTATGAAACGATATATCGTTGTTTTAAAAAATCTCTAAGGGATATAGAGAGGAAGGTTATTTTAACAAAAAGTAGCAAAACGGCCATTGGTGACCTGCATGTTCATAGGATACACTATCAACCACTTAGCTAAAAGATTCGCCCAATCCGATGATTTCGAGGTGTATGTCTAAACCAAGGATTATGAACACCTCACTATGCCCCAGTGGTTGTAGTATATCGCTACAAACACACAGGTCACCAATTATTTGCCACACAGGACGGGATTCGAACCCGAGCAGACGAATGCCACTGGCCAAGTGACACACGCCCTAGCCTTCTCGGCTATCTGTGCTTGAAGACCGAGGAGTCAAAAACCGGTATTTAAGCTGACTCTGCCGATTGCGAACAGATAGCGCTACGGATGGTTGTTCAATGCGTTACTAGGTAGCAGCACCAGTTAGTCACAGACTATTTAGATGATATTTTTTAGTTGAAAGCACAACAGTGATCATAAATGTGTTCTTGAGACTTTGCTGGAAAACATTAGTTTCCCTATAAAATGGTGATATTACGATAACCTCGTCCAACTAAATCAATATTACATAAATACATACATACATAATATTACATATTATTTAAATTCAATAAAACATTGATAACTATAGCCTATGTCTTTTGATTTTATGAGATTTTTGTTTCAAACAATGCTATCGGAACATAAAAATTTATAGGAAAACCAGGAAAATTACAACAAAAACTAGCCTAAGTTTTATTTAATGTTTACTACAAATACCGTGATTTATCTTTGTTATATATTTTCTTATTGTCTTATTATTCAAAATTAGCCTAATTAATAAAATAGTTAGCATTACAGTTAAAATTCAACAACAGGTAATGGAATTAAAAGGCAAACAAAAAAGTCTTATGAAATATGAATTCTTGGCCTAGCACTGAAAGGGTTAACCTCTCGGCTACCCAGACAGTCTTGATTTTTGATAGGTAGCTTAGCCCATAACCTGCTGTAAATAAATAATATACCTAGTAAGTTCAGTGGTTTGCGCTGATCTCTGTTGTTTCTAATTGGGCCTAGTGTCGTCTTTGATGATTTATATCTTTTTTTCTTACTTACTGTATTTAGACAATGAAGAGATTTTAAACATGTTGTGCGAAACCAGGTAGGCCTAAGATGTTCTTTTTATTAGCGAATTTCCCATAGGGAATAAGCTATTACCGTAGTACTCATGGTAAGACCTGGACCCGAGACCGATCTAATTTTTCATTTTGAGGTCCCTAGAGGCCAAAAACACCATCCGTTCAAATTCATATATATATATATTTATATTTATTATATATTTATATACAGGGTGTTTCAGTAAAGCGTAGCGGGCTATGCAGATTCAGATTCTACATGCAAAAATAAGTCGAAAATGTTGAATAACTTTTTTTCAATTACGGCTTAGTTTGGCCGTAATCCGCCATTTTGTATTTTTTTTTTAACAATTAATAACTCAAAAACCCTTGGAGATATTTTTATGAAACTTGGTACAAACTTTAATTCTATAGGTATAAACATTCTCCGAAAATATCTTTGATCAGGCTCATCGAGTTTCTTAATGGCGACCATTTAAAATTTAGTTTTAATGGCCGGTTTTCACTGAATTTTACTTAAAAAAAATTTTAATGGCCGCCATTTTGAAATTTGATGAGCCTGATCAAAGATATTTTCGGAGAATGTTTATACCTGTAGACTTAAGGTTTATACCGAGTTTCATAAAAATATCTCCAAGGGTTTTTGAGTAATTATTTTCAAAAAATACAAAATGGCGGATTACGGCTAAACTAAGCCGAAATCGGAAAAAAGTTATTCAACATTTTTGACTTATTTTTGCATGTAGAATCTGAATCTCCATAGCCCGCTACGCTTTACTGAAACACCCTGTATATATATATGTGTCCGTTAGCGCGATAACTCGAGCAAAAATGATCCGATTTTGATGAAATTTGGTACAAACGTGTAAACTTACGTTTATTCGAACGAGTTCGCGATCCAGCATAATCGGACCATGGGAACAGGGGATTATGGGGGGTTTTATGGGGTAAAAATGGGTTTTTCCCATTTTTGAACCTAAAAACAAAAAGTTTTGCGATTTCTTTCTAAAACGTTTTGTAGAGCTTAAAAAAAGAAATAATTTAGTATATTGAAGCGCTGTTGTATGCCTAACGGTAACGGAGAAAATTCAAAAATAGTGTAATTAAAAATTCCCATAATGTTATTCTTATGGAGAAAATGAAAATTGTTGTAGTTTACTTGTTTATGGGTATATATCGATAAAATTTGGCAAATTTATTTATTTCATCCTATACTATTGATGTATGGTCAAAAAACACTTTTTACCTTCCCCCGTAGCAGCAAACCTAAGCACCTGTTAAATCTAATGTTATTTAAATAGGGAATAATATGTCTTATTTATGGAAATATTTTAGTAAAAATGTAATCAGACAAGTTGAAATTCGCTTAGTCTGCAGGTGTGCTGCGGCGGGGGTATTTATGTTTTTTAAGAGACCTGGACAGGAATTTTGTAAATTATTAATAGAAAATCACCTCCGTTTTAGAAAAACAGGGTGTGCAACCTCCTAGCTTGCTGAAATTGCTTCAATCAATTTATCATTTTCTTTGCTACGTTCATCCCGACTTTGATTGTGACATCTGTCACTAAACTTTAAAACTGGGTTAAAAACACAACTTAAAAAAAATAAGAATAGTCAACAATAAAACACATGTTTCTTCTTGTAATAGACGCTAGCGACTGCGTCCCCAACTGCTCCAGGAGCAGTTTGGTCTACGATAGACGCATCTGGCAAAATAGACTAACCAGAAACAATGCAAAGCTGTGGGCAGCGATTGACGTGAAATGATATCTAGGGAAAAGTCCAATACTTCCCCCCCTTCCATTTACTATAAAGCTTACCGTGAAAAAAAAAACCCTGTGCGATAGTAGGGGCTAATTTCCGCTCAGTGCGTTTCATTGCTTGTCACCACAAGTACATTTCCGGCACAACAAATAGAGCTGAAAGCGTATGGTCGTCCCATAAACAAATTTTCTCTGTACCTTACTTCTCTGTGTAATGGCTAAGGAAGGAATGAGAGTCTTAGACTAAAACACACTCTGCAAGTGGCTTATTCAAGTGGAGTGCTATTGGATTTTGATTTGCTGCAACAAATCCAGAACATTGACAAGTATTTTCGCCACTTCACGCCATCCTCGATGCCCAAGATCCACTAAGTTACCTAGTTATCAAATCAAAGATATTCTCTCCTCTGGATAATCTTTTCCAAACTTATTATTGTCGATAACCATCAAGAAGTGGGAGTTAATCATTGCCAATCTTAAGGACTAATATTTTAACTTGAAGAAAATTATACATTGTTTACTCTAGTTCTTGTGATGTCTCTTAAAACATTATCTCTGAATTTCTTTCCCTTCCTATTGGTTACATAGTAGTAGGTTACATAGTTATTGGTTACATAGTATGACTCTTTAATATGGAGAACATAATTTTCGTCAACATTTTAGCAAATTTCTCGATAGGGAAGTGGCCACTACCGTTGGGAAGACCTAGGCCCGGGACCAATTTACTTTTTGATTTTGATGTCCCCAGAGGCCAAAAAGTCTAGATTTTGATGAAATTTGGTTTATTGGTAGAAGGCAGGATATGGGCTACTTGAATGAAATCGCAAACCAGCATAATCGGACCATGGAAACAGGGTTTTAAAATGGGGCATTAGATGTGGTAAAAATTGGTTTTCTAATGTTTAACCCTCAAAATAGAAAATTTCATAAAATCTATGTAGACTTTTTTAAAGAGCTTAAAAAACAAATAATTTGGTACGGTACCTATGTCAAAGTGTTTTTGTACGGTTTAACAGAGAAAATTTAAAAAAATTGTAAATTTAAAATTCCCATGTTATTCTTAATGGAGAATATTTTAAAATGTAGTTTGCTTGTATATGGAGCCGATATATTTTGATCAAACTTGGCAAATT